ATAAAAGCGTGTTTCTTCAGTTTTTCAAACTACCATTTATTCCAACTTCTTTTTAGTTCACTTGAATTTCACAATTTTGACGAAAGAATTTTAATATCCTAAAACCCAAGACGAAAATGTTGAATAGAATCGGAACATAATTACAAATCTCGTCCGAAATATTGGATCTACCATCTTTAATTCCCTAATTTTGACGAAAGAATAATAATTTTGGATCCCGAAAACGCCCACTCACAAATTTTGAATAGAATCGGTATATAATTTCGCCCAGTATATTGGTTCCACCGTCTTGAATTTCCAAATCTCCCCCTTTCCAAATTTTGACAAGAGAATCATAATCTCCGACCCCGAAAACACCCAGATAACAATTTCGAAGGGAGTCGGATCATAATTACAATGCTCGTCCGCCATATTGGGTCTGCCATCTTGAATTTACTATTTTGACTAAGGAATCATAATCTCTGACCCCGAGAACCACCAGATACCAAATTTGAATAAAACCGGATCCTAATTACAAAATCCGCCATTTTGGATCCGCCATCTTGAATTTCTTAATTTTGACGAAGGAATCATAATCCCCGATCATAAAAACCCCTAGGTACCAATTTTGAAAAGAATCGGATTATAATTACAAAACTCGTCCGCCATATTGGTTCCGCCATCTTGAATTTCCAAATTCTGCCCAAATTTTCAAATTCTGACGAAAGAATCATAATCTCCGACTCCAAAAACCCCCAGATACCAATTTTGAATAAAATCGGACCATTATTACAGAACTCGCCCGATATATTAGATCCGCTATCGTGATTTTCCTAATGGTACCGGGATAAAAAGTATTCTATAACCTTCTCCTGGTTCATAGATTCTAAGCTACCTCCCCACCAATTTTCAGCCAAATCGATCCAGTAGTTTCGGAGCCTAATCATTACATACAAACAAACAAACAAACAAATCTTTCCTCTTTATAATATTATTATAGATTAGTATTGATAGTGAGTTGTCTGACTCATCTCGAATTTGACGATAAATTGATGTGCTGACTGAGTTTGGCGAGACTGGTACTTTCATTTAAGGAATGATTGCCGAGATTTCTGAAAAACACTTTCCATGGAAATGTCTATAGACAGAAGTGAAATGTCGCCGATTTACCAACGGTGTTCCAACGATATCAAGGAATTAGTGAGTGTGGCATCACCCACCAGGCGAATCGTATGTTTGGGTTCTGAACTCCATATGTGGGAAAAGTATTCTAAGCCGGGCCATATCTGTGTTCTCTAGAATATAAGGAGGTGTTGAGGTGTTGGGATTTGCTTTTCGCACGGTATAAAAAAGTTTTCATGAAGCAACTTCCGCTATAGATCTAACAAGATTTTTCTGTATATACTATTCTAATCCTTTGCGTTCATTGATATTCAGAGCGATTCACCTAACTGATTCATCAAAGTTCCTCAGAGTTACCTGAAATTTTGTTCGTTGTTTTGTTGTCTATTTTTCTGAAATATTCTCAATACGTTGTCATCTTTTTTTTAATGTAACACCCTGTATATTGTTACATTTTTGGATTCTGTCTAAACCTAAAATTCACATCGTTTAATCCCATCTTATCGAATAATATCTGTGCCTGAGTACAGTTTGGAGAAAAAAAAAAACTAGAAGACATAGCTTCAACATAAAACGGCTCCACTGACAGACATGGAGTTGAAAGAAATGAACTATTGACAGTTTTCAGTACGACAGCTACTAATGACAAGGCAGACAGAATCGCGATCGTAAAGTCATTGTCGTTCTTAATGTGAACCTAGTTAGGCTTTTTTGTACATACAATTTGTTTATAACTAATTCATTTTCCCCTGTAGAATTTATTCTTGTTACAATAATGTCACAATGCTCAGTGTTGTAGTAGTCAATGTATGTATACTAGTCAGACGAACTCGACAAGCCCAGTCAGCACATTCCTTCGTCGTTAACCTCGAAAAATGTCGAACAACACTCTATCAAAACTCGTTCGTCTATGGAACGGCGAGGCTTTGGAATTCTTTGTCAATGGAGGTATTCCCAAGAACATATGACCTCCAGAAGTTCAAAAAATAATCCAACACCTACCTCCTCTCCCTGTCCTCCTTAGGTACGCACGATGTTCCACGACCATTATGAAATTTCCTTTCGTGCGCTCCAAGAGATAAATAATAAAAAATGTTGTTTTACCTGTACAGGGTGTCCCACTCAAACTTTTCTGGGATATTTTTTACGATTTTTTCGAATCTGTGCTCACTTTTTCTCCATATCAACAAACTACAGGGTGGCTCAAGAAACTTTTTTATTTTCAAATGAAATGATCCATATTTTTTTCCATAATTCGATGGAGCTCGTCAATCTGGATTCAAAAATATATATATCATTCATATATTATTATCGAATGAAATTTAAATCATTTCATTTGAAAAATCTTTTTTCTCCATGTATTCTGTTGATATGAAGAAAAAGTGAGCACAAATTCGAAAAAATCGTGAAAAATTATTCCAGGAACGTTTTTGGATGGTCAAAATATATTATACGAGGATAAAGGGGGTGACACATATAGGTGGGACACCCTGTACCTTAGCTTTTGTCTATTCTAATGGCCACTTGAGATGAATCTCGTTTGAGTGAATTTCACAATTATTTTCTCAACTTTGTCGTGCCAATGGTGAACTGTATTATTATTTCGTTCTTTTGGCTATATACGATTCGATTCGAAAAGTTTCCCTTACCGGCTTCTAAATAGGTATGATTTTCCTCAGCAACTTGTTTCCTTTCTAATATTGTCATGCTTTTCACAGGTATTGTAATGTGTCTGGAGATGGCCGTTGAGCCGAAACTTGTCACACTATAATGTTTCAATAAAATTTGTGGTCGATCTAATCGGTGTTTTATTTTTTTTTGTAAACCTAGTTGTTTGTTCATCGGGAAAAATATGCAAAAATCACCCTTGTCGTCGATATTTTCAGTAAACTATTGAGCTCTTTTTCGAACTAAGTTATTCATTTGTTATCCAAACCCTAGAAATATTTCGCACTTTTGTCAAGATTCACCTTCCTGTCTGTCAAGTTTGTTTACAAAAAAATTATCCAGCTGAAACTTTCCAAGTATGAACATCGTTCATAATCACACATATAGTTTAATTGAAGCTTGATACATAAAGAAAAAAACGAGGAATTTGAGTAAGAAATAGGAACTCATCAGTGCTGCGATGAATCATTATTGTTTGCGATTTATTGAAATGTGACTAAAAATAAAAAAGTAGGAACTGCTTATTTACCTCTATAATGTTGATGAATTTGACATCTGTATAAAAACCACTCCCACATAGGTAGTTCGTCAACTGAGAAACGAAAAATTATGATTCACGGATAAGCAATTCAGTAGAAAAAATAATAATGAGAAAATGTTATATTTATATAACATTGGAGGAAAAATATGTGGAAAGGGTGATTCAGACTATTGAAACAAAAAAGATAAACGGAGTATCACAAGAAATTGCACATGTCTTATCAAAATTCAATATAGATTTAAGCCACAAAGCACATAATACTACGAAACAAATTTTTTACAAAACTAAAAAGTAAAACACCACTATTGAAAAATTCTAATTCAATCCCATGCAATGATTGCAATAAAACCTATGTAGGAATGACAACACAATATCTAGAAAAAAGATTTTAAAAGTACATCATTATAGCACACAAAATCCAACAGCACTTACGAAACACTTAACTGAGAATAATAACACAGTAAATAACAATCAATTCAAAATACTAACACATGAAACAAACTACTACAAAAGATGTATCAAATAAATGATTTACATTAAAAAAGACAACAATACAATGAACAATACAACTGACATAAGCAACCTGAGTAACATTTACAATCATATAACCAATATTTTCAAATAAATGAAATTTTCTATCCAGTCAAACAAAAATAACCTTGCCGCCAGTAATATCTACCACTGCCACCAATATTAAAATTGAATGTCACATATCCAAACCAAAAAATACACAAATTACAGGAAACAAAATAACATTGAACACGTTTTCGTCATTTTCTAATATAGAAAATGTCGAAAGAAAACAAGTTATTAATTATGAACAAAAAGGAAAACTACAAACAAAAAATTCTACCAAAGAAATAGCTCTGGTTGAGGTATGTCTACCTACTGATAGTCTTAAAAAAACTATAAAATGCACACAGCACGAGATTCTATCTACTCTATTTTTTCCAGTACCAGTAAATTTTTTGTAAACCCAAGAACTGTCCCTCCCCAAAAAAGATAATATCACATCTGAATTACATATTTCGAAGTGCAGTAGCTTGGCATCGTGAACGACTGTCTAGCGAGTATGAGCTATATTTCGCAATCAATTGACAGTACTGAATCTGCTGATTTTTCATTCCAAAATCAAAAAACTCACTGTACTCGACTCAACATTCTGCTGAAATTGCTGGCTCAAGATGTAGTGTGGGTTTAGTGAACTGTCATCAATTTAGAGGAAGAAAAAATTTTACATTCATTTCATCAGTCCTGTTCGGTTGTGCTTGTTCTACCTGCTGAACTCGATTTTTTTCATGACTCACTGTTTACATCATGCCATGAACAGGAACAACTATGGGGAAAAAAACAACTTTGGCAAGTTCAGCAATACAAACGAACATGCCTATTATTCCCGTTGTTAATATAGATTAATTAGAAAAATATCCAACTTTCACCAGCTGCTCAACTGTTGCTGATTACTGATGAAAACCATGAAAACGTGTTCCGAATTACAGCACTGTATTTTTGATTTCATATTTCGGAACACAGATTTTCAGGAGAGTCAGTAAATCTAATGACAGTTTTGACCAATCGAATTCGCAATATAACCTTAGTAAACACTCTAGCTTTCTCGTTTAGATCGGATCGGAGTTTGGATTCTGTTTTTTTGTCTACCCTTGTGCTCATTCCGTTCGTTCCCCAGCAGACCACAAGACTGAAGACGCCGCAACGGTGGTGCAGCGTCGCCCCAAAGTCTCCAGCGTATCCTTGAACCTGCCCGCGGCCGGGCTGGGCAGCCGGCCGCCCTCCCTGATCAGCTCGGGTACCGCGGACGAGGGCGGCTTCAACGAGCCCTCGCCCAAGGTGGAGGCGAGGCTGCGGCCGCCCCTCGAGAGCCTGTACGATTTCGCGACGGGGGAGGCGGAGGAGGCGGAGGAAGTGGGGGAAGTGGAGGAAGTGGAGGAGGTGAAAGGGACGACGAAGTTGACGGCCGAACAGATCGAGGCGTTGTATGCAGGTGAGAGCAAGTCGAGAATTGATTGGTTGTTGGTAGTTTTATGTAGGTTGGCTTAGAGTAGGGATGGGGAAATAGATTGAGATTGGGGCCGTATGAAATAACACAACACTTTGGCGGGCCGAATACAATTAATTTATTACAATTAACAATTTAACTATTGTTTGGAAGTAGGAGGTTGGTGTGACAAATGAAATTTTGATTGTTTATTTATCATGTCATCGAAATTTGGCTCTATTTCACTCGAACTGATCCGCAAAACGCATTCAAGATGTTCGTCAGTCATCTTATTTCTGAGAACATTTTTACGCAGCTTCATTGTAGAAAATACCTGCTCATAGATGTATGAAGACCCAAACATGGACATGATATTACTTTGAGTTGGAACTCAGCTGCCATTTGCTCACAATCAACGACAAATAGATGAGAAAATATTTTCAAGTCATTTTCTATATTGAAGTCTTTGAATATTTTTATGAACTCGTTTTCCAAGCAATTGGGTTGACTTACATAAAAATTACCTTTATCATTAGTCAATTCACCAACGGTCTGTTACCTGGGAAAATGGGCGAGATTTCTTTGTGCAATTTGCGTTGAAAACAAACGCAACTACAACTTGAATGCCTTTATTTGGGCCCAGGCCACAGAACTGAGATTTCTGTGGTCCAAACTTGGTCAAGAAACAGATTTTTGCCTTGAATGCTTTTATCCAATTTGTTTAAGTATTCAAGTAAATCTGTGAAGAATGCGAAGTCCAAAATCCATTGTGAGTTCAATTATTTCCAAGTTGTCCATCTTCGATTGTTGTCGCAAGAGTTCAATTATTTCGTTTCTCACAGGGCAATATTGTATTTGACGGCTCGTTTCCAAACTTGGTCAAGAACAGATTTTTGCCTTGAATGCTTTTATCCAATTTGTTTAAGTATTCAAGTAAATCTGTGAAGAATGCGAAGTCCAAAATCCATTGTGAGCCTTCAATTATTTCCAAGTTGTCCATCTTCGATTGTTGTCGCAAGAGTTCAATTATTTCGTTTCTCACAGGGCAATATTGTATTTGACGGCTCGTTTTGATCGCGGGCCGCATCGAATCATGTCGCGGGCCGGATTTGGCCCGCGGAACAATTTCACTTGTACAAGAGTGGTAGGTATAATAAGTAATTAATGAATGAACAACTGTTATGGCAACAATAACAGCTGATTTCAGTTAGGATAAATAATGAACGCTCTTTCCAAACTTTTTGTATCCCATCTGTATCCATTCCATTTTGAATTTTGAGATGAATCATGTTCATATTGAGCAACAGGTAAATTGATGATGTCGGCAACGTCGTACTGGTACAGGGAATCGTATTATAACTCTGTGTGAATGTGGATTTTCAGAAAGTACGTCATAGGAATGGTGGAGGAGCCAAGTTCCTCTTTTATTTATTTTCTCTGAAGTGAAATTTGATCTTGAGAAAAAAAGAAAAAATAAGTATATTTAAATTTTTTACTAACAGTGAGATAAAATCCTCAATATAGGAAACTTCCCCATTGATTGCAAAACTATGTAATAAAATTGAAAATTAGAGAATATTATGATAATAAAAATAGTAATGATAATAGTAATAATAATAGTAATAATAATAATAAGAAATGATTTTCTTGAGTCAGCATGAATGTACAACAGGTATTATTATACATGTATGTTTCCCAAACGGCAGAGTTCAATTTCACCACGATTAAATCGCTAATTGCTCTTCCACTCAACCGTAATACAGCAAAACAACGTTTGCCGGGGCTAGTTATCGTTATAAATCATAGATGAAAACCCAAAGTCATCTCCACAACATGACTTTTGGTTTTCATCTATGAATAATTACACCACTCCACTTTTAACCATGGACTTCTTCCAAAGATCGTTATAAATGCTTGCAGTTCCGCACAAAAAACCGCCCATCGACCCGAGAACGCCCGAAGCCTGTGAACCCGTTACGGCCACAGCCTCCTGCGACTACGAAGACGACTCGCCCCACTATGCCGTGCCCTATCGACCGCACCTCTTCGCCCAACAGAAGTCCGTCACTTCGACAGACTCGGACGCCTCTCAGGTAATGTACTTCTAGTTCTTTCACACATTTCAGAGCTCGATCAGTGACAAAAAAAATGAATTCACTGAACGCTTTTCTCAGTTGTTATTTACACGAACAAGATGAACCATCTATATGAGAGCAATGAAGCCAGATATTCTATTCAGTAGGGGGCTGTATCTATGAGCGACGCGAGGTGAACTACTTTCTGTTGATTAGAGTAGGGGAGAGATCGGTAATGCAGAATATATTCGAAGTTCATCTTTAGATGTTTTTTATGCATCAGGGCCGGATTATTAAGAGTTAGTGATTCTCCTGCTTCAGAGAGTTAGCTATTTCTAGATAGTTCAGCAACTTGGAGATAAATCGTAGAAATCATCCATACTCAAAGTGGTCCAATGTATTTTCAATGAAAAAATATGAATACTCAAAGTCAGTCGACCATACTTTATGTAAAAATTAGTAATTAAACAGTAACCAGTCTCGGCACAACAGCCATCATCAGATTACAATACCTTATAAAGACACAAAAAAACATAAAAAGTAAAATATCATTCGGTATCATTCAAAATAAACACTGTAATGTGTATTTCATAAAGATCGTTGAAAGCCAAACTAGTCTCAGCCTGTACAGAACCTTGAATATTTAGGCTTCATGCAACCCTTCAAATTCGAATAAGTATCTTAAAAACGAAGCAATAAATCAAAAATTTGCAGAGGTATTCTCATTCATTAAATTGAACAAGGAATCTAAAAATCGAATCTTATTGTAATATATCTAGTGAAACTGAAGATTAGAAGAGGGAGAAGGAGATGTCGACGCCAATTATCTACGCCACTGAAGAATTTCTTCAAATGACCTCAAGCATTTCTCAGAGATGTAATACATTAGTCTGTGTGCGAAATTTGATCGAAATCGGTCGGATGGTTTGGAAGTTATGATGAGAAATCCAATGTTTGCCCAAATCTTTGAGACCCTGTATCTTTGTTGGGAAGCATTTTCAACCAACGTTTTTTCATGAAAGTCTACTTCTTTTCCGTTGTTCTATCGCCTATCAAAATTATTGACGTTTAACCTGGACTACCCTGTATATTGTTTTGTCAACTGTTTTCTTCTTGAGGCATTGTCGTTCTAGATGACAACCTAGTTAGGTAGTTAGTAGGCAGGAGCTATAATATTGTCTGTTCATTGAAAAGACAATTGAAGAAAATATGTAGTTCAGAGACATCTACGTGAACTAAGTTATTCATATTTTATTCCTAACCCATAACATTTTTCATGATCCTGTCAAGTTTGTAAATAAAAATCTGTCATGTTGAAACCCGAAAATGAAACATCATCACGAAAGATATTATCAAGTATGAAAACCATCTACCTATACTTGAATGGAAGCAGGAAGATGTTTAGGCAATGCTGTATCAGGTTGACTTATGATGCAAGTTGAATTGAAGTTGGAACTGTGGAAACTTCGGAAACTCATCAGTGCTTTTACACTTTTTCGACATGCAAGCCAAGCAGAAAGGTAGGGGCTGCTTATATCCTTCCATATTCTTGATAAGTTAATTCAAAAACTCCCATTCCTGAAATATCAATGCATCAAGTTTCAAATATTATGCGATTCAAGAAAAAAATTTCACCTTGCAATCCGATGAATATGGCATAAACTCATTGATGCCTCAGGATTTGTGGCTCAAATTCACAATAGTGAGGATAGGGGAAACCAGGTCTTTATAATTTTACACCTCCACCTCCTGGAGTGCGAAGTTTTCAGATAACATTGCAAAATAACACAATCGCACTCACAAACCAATCAACAAACTGCAATAGAAAACCAATACTAGAAGAAATAGTTAGGAGTAATTGTAATTTTCAAGAATACGAATTCAAAGTATAACATATTCACAAAGACGAAGTTATAAGTTAATGACAACTGTCAGAAAATAATTTTTTGATTATGACATCTCAATCTCATGAAATAATCTTCTTCATCGCCTTTGTATCAAATATCACGTCAATGATGGAAAGCACATCTGTGGTTGAGTACATATTGGAAAAAAATAGAAGAAGAGAATATCAACCTAATATGGTCTATTTCGACATAAACAAATGAGCTATTTCCATTTTCTCATCCCCAGCGCCACTTGACAGACAGACATATTTTGATTGAATGAACAGACAATATTATACCTCCTCGCACTAGGTCGCCTACTAGGTTTCCATTTAGATCGACAATGCTTGAGGAAACCAGGAATTATATTTGATTTGATTTAGGTCACGGTGGTACCGCGACGAGACCCAGATGCTGACGTCTTTCGCCGCGACCACGTGACAGAATCGGCCTTGTCCGACTCGAAGTCGGAGCCGTTCATTTTGACGCGCGAATTCCTGCAGACCGAAGATAAGGCGGACAGGTCGCAGGACGTGCAGAAGTGCGAGGCCAATCTGCTGGATTTGAACGATGTGGAGTACGCAGACGCCAGCGATCCGGATTGCAGCGTGTGCGAAGAGAAAGTACCTGAGGCGGATGCCATGACTCCGGACGAGGCTGAGATTTTGCTCAGCACTAAGTAAGTCTCATTGTTGAAGTGGATGGTCGACGCTGAATATCGTTTGTTATTTATTTCTCCTTGTTTTGATCGTTTGATGACATCAAACACCTTGAAAATTACATTGTTTGCTTATAATAATAGTAGTGAATGATGAAGATGAAGTACCTGAGGCGGATGCCATGACCTCGGACCAGACTGTCATTTTGCTTAGTACTAAGTAAGTCTCATTGTTGAAGTGGATGGTCGACGCTGAATATAGTTTGTTATTTATTTCTCCTTGTTTTGATCGTTTGATGACATCAAACACCTTGAAAATTACATTGTTTGCTGATAATAATAGTAGTGAATGATGAAGATGAAGTACCTGAGGCGGATGCCATGACCTCGGACCAGACTGTCATTTTGCTCAGTACTAAGTAAGTCTCATTGTTGAAGTGGATGGTCGACGCAGGATGTCGTTTGTTATATGATTCTCCTTGGCTTTGATCGTTTGATGACGTCAAACACCTTGAAAATTACGTTGTTCGCTGATAATATTAGTAATAAATGACAAAGATGAAGTACCTGAGGCGGATGCCATGACTCCGGACGAGGCTGAGATTTTGCTCAGTACTAAGTAAGTCTCATTGTTGAAGTGGATGGTCGACACTGGATGTCGTTTGTTATATGATTCTCCTTGGCTTTGATCGTTTGATGACGTCAAACACCTTGAAAATTACATTGTTTGCTGATAATGATAGTAGTGAATGATGAAGATGAAGTACCTGAGGCGGATGCCATGACCTCGGACCAGACTGTCATTTTGCTCAGTACTAAGTAAGTCTCATTGTTGAAGTGGATGGTCGACGCAGGATGTCGTTTGTTATATGATTCTCCTTGGCTTTGATCGTTTGATGACGCCAAACACCTTGAAAATTACGTTGTTCGCTGATAATATTAGTAATAAATGACAAAGATGAAGTACCTGAGGCGGATGCCATGACTCCGGACGAGGCTGAGATTTTGCTCAGTACTAAGTAAGTCTCATTGTTGAAGTGGATGGTCGACACTGGATGTCGTTTGTTATATGTTTCTCCTTGTTTTTGATCGTTCGATGACTTCAAACACCTTGAAAATTACGTTGTTTGCTGATAATATTAGTAATAAATGACAAAGATAAAGTACCTAAGGAGGATGCTATGACTCCGGTGAGGCCGAGATTTTGCTCAGTACTAAGTCTCATTATTGAAGTGGATGGTCGACGCTGGATGTCGTTCGTTATTTGTTTCGCCTTGGTTTTGATCGTTTGATAACGTCGAACACATTGGAAGTTGAATAACATTGTTAGCTGATAATATTAGTAATGAATAATAATGATAAAGTACCTGAGACTGATGCTATGACTCCGGTGAGGCTGACATTTTGCTTAGTACTAAGTAAGTTTCATTGTTGAATTTGACGGTCAACGGTAAATATCGTTCGTTATTTGTTCCTCCTTGTTTTTGATCGTTTTATAACGTCAAAAACCTTGCAAATCACATTGTAAGCTGATAATGTTAGTGATAAATGTTCGGAAATATAATTAGATTAGTTTTCAACATGTTTATGTAGTTGTAATCGTTGATAGAAATCCAAGTTTGCTTAGAGTGGAGTGGCTGTAGTTCAAGAAGTCATCTCCATTATATTTATTTACATGTGCTTATATATTTATATGTTTCTGACTGAGTATGTGGAAATGTGGGTTCACTCAAAAAGCTCTGTATCATTCAGAATTACAATAATGTAGATTTCGAAGTCATGTCAGTTGGAAAGTGATGAAGTTGTCAAAACCATTCTGCATTATGAATTTTCTCCGGTGTATATGAAGTTAATGTAGATTTTTCTTTCATGTTGGTGTCTACCTGATAGGATTCTGGAGAAGAAAAACAGGTGAGTCTTTTGTGAGATACAAAAATCACTAATTCATCACTAAATTATCACTAATAATAAGATTTATTCATGAAAAAAATTATGAAAATATGTACTCACCTAGGTAGAATGCTGGAATACTACCTGCTATTTAAGCTCTAGCTTAACTGACCAAGAAAACATCATGTCATTACACTGTGTGCATTTAACATATGATTAGAGAATGGTATTTTATTTTGGTTTCCATAACTTCTTTACATAGATTAGAGGCAAAGTTATAGTTCGATGGTTCTTCAGCATCACCTACCTTACAATAGGTAATCACATAACACATATACAGCTGAAGTCTTCCATTGCAATTTCGATTTATAAACCATAAAAATTCAGGCAAACACATTGGGTAGGGCAGAGACAGGTAGAATCTTTGCTCACACTGAGTATTCTCTCGTCTTAAGATTTTTGTCACTAATGTCCGTTTGTGAGAGATATAATTCCCATATCACTGATAGGAATGATTTTTTTTGGAAGTTCCAAGCTCATCAAGATCAGAGTTCAGACAATTATATTTCTCCTATATATTTCAATTTTCATTTCAATACTGAACATATCGGTAAGTTATATTTTTATATCATAATACATCATATTATTCTATTCGATTTGAGAGATGATGTTCTCAATTTCAGAGGATTTTGATTTTTCATGCTCTCTTTTTTTTGGATATTCAACAGATATAATTCAAAGTTCGACGTGGCAAATAGCCAGGAAAGTAGTTGTTTTCTGTTGAATATTCAGAATTATATTATATGCATATCTTTATATGAAGGAGAATGCAAATTCTCTACTTCAGAAGATTTTGTTTTTAAATTCTTATCGTGTGTGTTCAATAGATGTAATTCAATATTCGTCGTGGCATATAGCCAGGAAAGTAGTTGTTTATTATACAATTCAAAAATGAAGGCAAGAAATATATTTTTATGCAAAGGGATGATCAAAGCTGAAGGATTATGAGTCTCTTTTTTTTTTCTTCACTTTCTTTTTTTGTTTCCTTGTTCACTATTATATGAGTACTGTTACTTTGATATATCTAATGATATGTAAGTTTTGTTCACTATTTGTAATTTCAATTGTACAACAGTCGATAATACTTCATGAATGATCTTATACCAGGAATAACTGTCTGATCATTCATGTCATTCCTACTACAAAATCAATTATACTTTATATATTATTTGCATTCAATGTATCAATGGAGAAAAAATATAACACAATAACTGAATTAAAAAAAAAACTTCTGGATATCTTTTTTGCCCAGAACCAACCTCCTCTCCGACGACGAGGCCAGAGAAGCCTCGAGACTGATCAATAACAGAGACGCCAAGTTCGACTCGATCACCGCGTCGGTGCACGACTCGTCTGGTCCGGTCTCGCTATGCGACAGCCTCGGTCCTCCCTCCATCCAAGAGGAGGCCGTCGACGATCACGTGACGGAGAGGCGGGGGGAGGAGCCAGATAGGCGGGGCGCCGAACCGCTGTCGCAGTACTACTCGTCCGGCGGCGCTGTGTCGATGGGCGACAGCTTCTCGATCCAGGAGGAGGGCGTGAACGATCACGTGACAGAGAGGCGGGAAGAAAGGGGGCGGGGGGAGGAGCCAGATAGGCGGGGTGCCGAACCGCTGTCGCAGTACTACTCGACCGGAGCTGTGTCGATGGGCGACAGCTTCTCGGCCCAGGAGGAGAGCCTGAACGATCATGTGACGGAGAGGCGGGGCGAGAGGGGGCGTGGCGTCGAGCCGCTGTCGCAGTACTACGAGTCGACGTCGAGTCTGGATTCGATGCAGGAGGAGGAGGGGAAGGTGTCGAGATGCGAATTGGATACGGTGTCGGTCACTGATTCCGGATTGATTGGTGAGTGTCTGTATAAGTTGTCTGTGCGATTATTGGCGGATTTCAAAGGTCATCAGATGACGTTGCGATGACATTTTTTCAAACTATGAAATAATACTCAGTCATTTTCACGAAATTTCAATGTGTATAACATATCAAACTATTTTTTTTTGTATATCACGAAGAATGGCTGAAAGAGTAACTGGACTTCAGGTTACTGATGAGAAGTTGAAATGAGTTTATTGGAGTGAAGTCATATAACCTATTTGTGAGGGATACAATTTCCATATTACTGATAAGAATGATTGTTTTGCAAGTTCCAAGCTCATCTAGATCAGAGTTTATACAAGTATACTCCTCCTATACATTTCAATTTTCATTTCAATACTGAACATATTGGTAAGTTATATTTTTATACCATAATACATCATATTATTATTTCATACGATTTGAGAGATCATGTAAATTCTCAATTTCAGAGGATTTTCATTTTTTATGCTCTCTTTTTGGATGTTCAACAGATACAATTCAATGTTCGAGGTGGCAAATAGCCAGGATAGTAGTTGTTTTCTGTTGAATATTCAGAATGATATTATGTGCATATCTTTATATGAAGGAAAATGCAAATTCTCTACTTCAGAAGATTTTTTTTTTCCAAATTCTTATTGTTTGTGTTCGATAGATATAATTGAATGTTCATCGTGGCATATAGTCAGGAAAGTAGTTGTTTTCTGTTGAATTAACCAAGAAAGAATTGATATTTTCATCACAAAGGTAAATAGCGAATTCTCAATGTATTTCTTTATATATACATCCATTTTCAAATGTTCATAATTATATCTAGGAATATTCCTTTTCAATATAAATCAAAATGGTAATCAGTTGAAAATAAAATTATTATAATATTTCAGATGAAATTTGAGAGGTTAACGGTTCTCAGGTTTAATTGCAGTGAAACATTTTGACTATCAGAAACATTATGACTATCAGAACCATTATGACTATCAGAAACATACTATATTTTTCAAGTATCATACGATCCCAATCGTGGCTACAGACACAGAGACAGAGGGTTTTAAGCAAAATCCGTTTTTTTTCAATTCCATTGTATCTGATGTGTAGAAAATTAAATTGTTTTTTTTTACTGTCATCGAAATACAGGGTGTTCCACTAAGACAGTTAATATTTCTGAGTACTAGAGAGTACTAGAAAATTATAACTGGGGCTATGAATCAAAGCAATTAGTGCAGCTCTTTTTGATATTTTCTTACCCAATGAGCTTTTTGTTTTCGGTCACGTGACATCAGATCGAAAATTCTAAATGGGACAATCTGTAGTGTAATGATATTCCCCTTAGAGTGGCTCTAGAGCTGATTTTATCAATGTAGCGCACTTGGGGTCTAGCAGGAATGATTACAGAGATATAGGGTTTTCAAAATCGAGATTATTCAATTTTAGGATTTTTTGTGTCGAAACTATTCATTTCCGATCAAAACGGCATACATGTCCCTATCTTAACTTTTGATCCACTATCTACTGGAATTTAATTGTAAAAATTCCTAAAATTGAAAAATCTCGATTTTGAACACTCTATCTCTGTAATCATTCCTGCTAGACCCCAAGTGTGATACATTGATAAAATCAGCTCTTCAGGAAGAATGTAAAAATAACGAAGTTGCTAGTTGTTTCTGATAGAAGTGGCAAGACTGTATCGATGAAAATATTTTTGAAGGATAGAGAATGTTCAATTATTAAAGCATCCCAATTTTCAGAATGTTCTGTCTTTTCGTTCTCCAGATACACTATAGATAATAGGTCATCCGCCGTGGTTCACCCTGTATAATACGATGAATGAAACCATTGACATTTTTTGCTGCAGTTTGGCCTCCATAAAAAAACTGGACTGTTCTGTTTTTTCCATTGTATAATTTTAATGTATTAAGAAAATTTCAGTAATACACTTAGTATATTCCTATTCTGTGATTACATACATTTTTTTTTCTTCATTCTTTGCTATAAACATTACATTGCATCTCATATAAATATAAATATAATCATTAACATTTATAATGGAATAACATGAATAATCAGACAGATTCATATCTGGTATGGGATTATTCATGCGTTATCAAATTAAATTATATTTATTGAAATAAACGACAGAATAAAGAAAAATGATAATACAACAAAAAGCTCATGAAAAGTTAATTATGACATGATGAAATAAATTAGTGAATGTGAAATCATTCACTCAGGTTTGATTTTCTCTTTGCAAGAGGATATGTTTCTTGACTTTGATTTTGAATTGGGTGATATTTGTGCAACTTTTGATATCATAAGGTAATTTATTGAATTTTGAGATAGCTCCGTGAGTGAACTTTTTTTGACCAAGTGTAGAATTAGCAGCATCAAGATGAATTTGAGAATTCCTTACCAATATTAAGTTAGATTTGAGGTTTTTGTTGATAATATCAAGAGAAATTTCGAGAGTATTTATCAGATAGTGCTCTTCCAAAGAAAATGTATTTGTTTCTTCATAAAGTTGATTTGATGGGGTGACGATACAGTACTTTCAATGCTTTTTTATATAGTACAGAGATTTTGTTGAAATTATTCTTGGAACATGAACCCCAAATATTTATGAGATAGTTCATTTTACTAAGGATGTGAGAGTATAGAACGGTATTTGCTATATTTGGGATAAATTTTGGACATCTTCTTAAGGCACCAACTATGGGGGAAATTTCTTCATTGAGCATGCCAATATGCTTGTCCCATGTTAACTTTTCATCAATCCAAATACCAAGGAACGTGTATCTGTTGAATAGTGTAATAAAAAAAAAAAACGTTCGTTGCAGATTCCGTGACGAGCCTATCCGACAGCAACCACCTGGAGGCGACGGAGACGGGCTTCACCCCGCGCCCCGTGCAAGTCGTCGGCATCGAGCACGGCGTCCACTACTACGAGGACGGGCACTTTTGGATGGAGGTGCCCGGTCTGCCGCCAGAGGACGAAGACGAACCCGCCTATCCGGCCTACGTTCCGAAACCCAGCAAGGTACGTTAATCCTTTCGAGAGAAACAGTCTCGGAGTAACTAGAGTCACTGGATAGTATTATTTAGATAAGAGTTCGGACACAGAAATGACAACTGTTAGTCATAGATGAAGAAACCCATCTACTGATTAGTCCCTGTGGCTCTTTTTATGACTTGATCGATTTAGCATTTTTAGATTTTTTTAGTATTTTTTGTTGTCGTTGTTGTCACCTTATATTATTTTATTATTGTTGTTTGTAATCAACTTCCTCATACCAGAATTCTATTTCTGACTGGAAGCTAGTTTCTCCATAAACAATAATTAGATTAGATTTGGAATGGGGCCTTCGGGCTATCTGCCTCCACACTGCGACCTTTTCAGATCTATTGTGTCTGCCCTCAAAATCGATTAGAGTTCTTCGGCTAGCCCCGCCTTCTCTATGAGACTCCATAGGCTAGCTTTCAGATCTCCTGTGTATCTCTGGGCTCTTGGTTTTTCCTCACCCAGCATAAGGAACCTTAGTCTTGACAAGCCCTCACAGTGGCAAAGTATGTGTACTGCTGTTTCTTCCTCTTCTTGACAGAACCTGCACAGCAGTTCTTCAGTCAGACCTATCGTACTCATGTGTTTGTTGAGCCTACAATGCCCTGTGAGAAGTCCCACTAGTATTCTAGTTGAACTTCGTTTCTGGCTTAGTAGATATTCTGTGAATGTTGGCGATGGCTTTTTAATAAACTTTTTTGCCTGTCTCATTCCTGGCGAGTTGTTCCACCATTCTTGAGATTCAGTTTGCATCCATAATTTGATACTAGTCTTCTGTATAGCTTTCGCAATACCACAGAAGGGTTCTGGGCCATTAAGAGCTTTGTTTGCTCCTGCTCGGGCAAGTGAGTCTGCCTCTTCATTGCCCTCGTACCCTGTGTGTGCTGGTACCCATGCTAGAGTCAATCTGTTCTGAGCGCCCAGTGCATTTAGGGTTTCTAAGCAATCCCATACTAGTTTTGAGTTAACTTGCATAGAGTTGACTGCTTTGATTGCCGCCTGGCTATCTGAATAGATTGCAATGGTTTTGCCTTTAAACTCTTGCCTTATCAATTCTTTCACGCAATGATGTATTGCAATAATTTCTGCCTGAAACACCGTCGCGTATTTGCCTAAGCTCAGTGAGATTCTTGTCTTTGGCTTGGCCCCATAAATACCAGCTCCTGATCCTTCCTCAGTCCTTCCATGCCTCTCTGTCCGTTATACTTATTTTGAAAGTTTTTTCAAAGCTATATTTTGGAATTATGCCATCCGTTGGCATCCCCATGATGGGGTCGCTTTCCAACTCTTCATATAGCTTTCTATAGTCTTTACCGTGCGCGTTGCTTATGGGTGCTTGACCCCTTGACAATCTACTCACGACTGCTCTGGCTTCGCCTTGATTATATATTTGTAGTGGTGGTAGGTTCAAGAGGACCTCTAAAGCGGCTGTTGGAGTGGTTTTCATTGCACCAGTGGCACTCAGGCACGCTTGCCTTTGAATAGCACTGAGCCTTCGAACCACTCCAGCCTGTTGTGTCTTTGGCCACCAAACTACTGACCCATATGCTATCATAGGCCTAATGACGCTGGCATAGAGCCATGTGGTCATTTTTGGTTGCAGTCCCCAATTTTTTCCGCACATTCGTCTGCACAGATTGAAGGCTACTGTACTTTTTTGAACAATTTTTTGCAGGTGTTGATTCCATGTTAACTTATGGTCAAAGATGACTCTTAAGTATTTTGCCTCTAGGGACAATAATAAAATCTCCACAACATTTATTTGACGATCAGAGATCGATCACATAGAGGTACATGTTTCGGGGTTATATAAGCCCACTTTACGTATGTTCGTCAATAATAAGGATAAATTTCCTGCCTTCCATAAACCAGGTGTATATAAACTGACTTGTTCACATCACAATTGCAACTCCCAGTACATTGGCCAGAGTGGTAGACGGATTCAAACTAGAGTCAACGAACATATCAAAATAATAGAAAAGGCTAGGAATCCGATCCTAGATGAATATAACACCAGCAGTCCTTTTGCTAACCATATTCTCATCTCACAACATAGTTTTAACATTGATAATAGCCTAGAAATTTTGCATGTTTGTCAAAAAGGGCGTTTATTGAATCTTTTAGAAATTTATGAGATACGTTTATCATCTAACAATAGTAATGTCACTTCTCTGAACGAACAAACTCACTTTGACTGCCTCAAATTTTTCGATTCCTTAAAATTCTCTCAATAACTTCCAATATTATTTTCTTACCATGCTCTTCATTACAGGTCGGCTGACTGACGCCAAGTTGGTTTATAAATCTAAAATATGTTCCCAATCTGACGTAGTGCTGCTATTTGTTTCGTGGTTGTTACATTATTATTTACTATTCCATGATTTTAGACTTTTGTTCCGTGATCTGGTTGACATGACATGATGTCTGTCATGTTTCTTTTTGACAACTCAATTTTTCCGATTTCATTACACGTGGTTTGAGTTTATGTGATAAATTCATTGTACTATAAATTTATCATTTGAAGGTCGGGTTTATATTTTACAAGGGCCCACGTACCGAAATGTGATAATAACACTTCGAAAAATCAAACTAAAAGTTTGATGAGGTATCAAAATTACAATAATTTTATAACATAATCTTATATCATTTTACAGTGACGGTAAGTTTTTCAGGTTTCTTCACTCTGTCCCTTAATATTCTAAATCAATTGTTTTACAGATCATGGAGCAATCAATCAATCAAAATTGAGCTTTATTGTCCAAGAAACATTCTTCCTATTGACAAAGCGTGAAACTAGCAAGTGGATAGATCCACTATGTCCAATTATTTGTACAAAGATATAAAAGATATGAACATAAAATATAGTTAATAAATAACACAAATACAAGGGTATAAAACAACTACAAAAAAGCCCTAAAAGCATAACATTTATATCACATACAACGCCAACTAGGTACCTAACATAATAGTTGAAAAATCAAGAAATAAATTATACATGACTTCAAAACTTTTCGTTGTAATATTCCTGCAGGCCATAGTACGCTTTTTGAATAAGGAATTTTTTAACCTCCTTTCTGAATTTTTTTATGCAGCCAGTTCTTTTGAATTGTTCTGGCAAGTGATAGTAGATTTTTTTGCTCTCATATAATATAATGGAATTTTTTGTTCGAGTCATCTTCGGTATCGGCAGAGACAGGTGACTGTTATTTCTAGTGGACATAATATGATTCACCGGGTTTTTGTTAGATGAATGATGTCTGGTGTGGATCAAACAGACTGTTTGACAAATTTTGGCTACAAAAAACCCAGAAGGCTATGCCGTACCTGATATGAGACTCTATGAGAGAAAAATACGTGTTTCTGGCAATAGCAGGACCAAGCTCATTTGATACAACTCTAATGGTATAGCAACCTGATGCTAATCTTTTTTTAGTGACGTTACATGTTCTTCAAACCCTAATTTTCTGTCAATATGTATGCCTAGGAATTTAGTACTTGTTCTGTTTTCAACTTGGTGTGTACCCAATGTCAGATTTTCAAACTCAAATTTGAAAGTAATAATATTTGTCCTTGTTTGCACTGTTATCAACTATACTACTTTTTTCATTTCCATGTAAGTATTAAGTAATTCTTGCATCTGTATCCTAAGTCAACACCGATTCTTATAGAACTATGATAATTTCTATTGGCTGATGATGGGCTTATATGAGCCCGAAACATGGTCCTTTAAGATTGACCTTTGATCACTCTAATGAAAGTTGTGTTCATCTATGAAATACACCACTCCACTTTGAGTTGATTGATTGATTGATTGATTAATAGCAGAATGATCAGTCAGGGTTCGAAGCCCAAAACACTGCAGCCTTTGGGCCTATTGTATTCCTGATCATGCTGTTGACTTAGGTGAACAGGTTCGCTACCTTGATGAGGTTTAGCAGCCTCTTCACCAAATCATTCTTTGAAAATGCCTCTTGAGAGTTTACTGCTCCCAGAAGGTTGTATCTCCAACGCGCTAGTGCTTTGCACTCCAATATTACATGGGTGGCAGTTTCCTCCTCCTGATTGCATAGTCTGCATATGGGTTCGTCTGTATAGATGCCCATTTGATGCATATGTTTCCTCAAGGAGCAGTGACCGGTTATTAATCCCGTCACTTGTTTGATCTGACTTCTGTTTAGGCTCAGAATGTCGTTAGTCACTGTTTTGGACAGTGTTCCAAACATCAGTTTACTGTGTCTTTGTCCTGGGACATTGTTCCAGTATGCCTGATGTCTTTCTTGCATCCACCTTGCCAGCCAGCCGCGTATTGAGGTTTTGGGGATACCGAACACAGGTTCCGGTCCCATAAACAACGCCGCAGACCCTTGCCTCCACTTTGAGTTACCATGGACTTCTTCCAAAGATTAAATTATTTTTCATGGTATGGAACTTGGCAGATGTTGATTTGGCAGTATTTAGGATTAATTCGTTCCGTTGGCACCACACACTTGACTGGTCTGCAGAATCATTTTCGGTGTATGTTTCAGGTGTGCTTCTCCGTGGATCCGATGAAGGTGTATTCGACGTTCAGCGTCTCGGAGTACGACAGACGGAACGAGGACGTAGACCCGGTGGCCGCTTCGGCAGAATACGAGCTCGAGAAGAGGGTGGAAAAGATGGACGTGTTTCCCGTGGAGCTGGTCAAAGGTGGCGAGGGGCTCGGCCTCAGCATCATCGGCATGGGGGTGGGGGCTGATGCTGGACTGGAGAAGTTAGGTGAGGTGAACAACAATTTGATTTAATTATTTTTTGAGCTCCTGATTGCCACGATGCTCTCTTGGACTTCCTACTACTAATATGAGAAAATACTCATTTTTTGCCCATTCAAACGTTTTTATATGACCAATATTAACGAAGATAGCTATTGCGTATAATATAAACAATCACCCTGTACATGTTTGTGAAACTCAATAAACTCTCTTTTTGGAGATGTTTCGAGGCTTGATTCAAGACTGTTTCATGAGCTGAATGACTATTATTTCCGAGGCTCATTTGATGAATTTTTCACTAACAGAACGGAGATCGAATACTGTTCAAGATTGAATGCCTGAATCTGAATACTAACTGTTACTGACTGCTTCTATTTTAGGAATAAAGTGCAAGAAATGAAATATGTTTTCAGAAGTATAGTTTTTAACCAAATGGAAATTCAATTCAATTTGACCTCATTTATTACTTACACAAAAAGGATTTCGATGTTTGGAATGATTTTTAACTAATTATTTTTTTTAATTATCATCTGTCATTTACTTGGGAATTCTGACGACGATCACTTTGACGTTAAACTCTGAGATTAGTTCGTTTATGAATTCCCTGTACACTCTTTTCATACTTTTTTCAATCTCTAGAGGGTTCTTATATGTTCTCGTGCCATTAAATACATAATGTCCTAATTCAAAACGACGTTCTACCACCTAAGGGCATTCATTCTCGTACTAATTAATATGTTTGAGTCCTTGTTTCGCTCTAATGGACTGTAAATCGCCTATGTTGACAACATTAAACGAGGATGGCATTTTTTCTGCTACCCTCAGGGAGTTCAAGATAGTTGATGCGCTTTTCAGCATTTCACAGTTGGATAGGTGAAATTTTTTTTACGTTCTGGTTCCCACGAAAAGGAATATCCTGTGATGTTCAGAGAACATCGTGAGAACCAAGGGAAATAAGGTAGGAATTGGTGTTCTTTAATTTCTGGAGGTTATATGCCTCAGGGAACACCTCCCTTGGCAATGTGTTCCAGAGCCTCACTGTTCGTTGGATGAACGAGTCTTTGGAAAGAGATGTTCTGCAGGTCTCCAAAGTGACCACGAAGCGGTGGGAAGCCTCAACTCAACGAGTTAATCCCGCGGGGACTGCCAAGGGAGGAACAATTATTGATATTTCAGAAGAGCATCGTCCATGCAAATATCTATAAAATAGAGCCAGATCGCCAACTTTTCTACGGTGTTCCAGAGAAGTGAGTGAGTTTGTGAGCGAGGCATCACCCACGAGACGAATTGCCATTTTTGGACAGAATCAAACAGTTTCAGGATATGTTTGGATGCTTCACTCCAAATATGGGAACAGTATTCCAGGACAGGTCGGATCTGTGCCTTATAGATCATAAGCAACTGACTGGAAGTGAAATAGCTCCTGGCCCGCAACAGAAAACCAAGTTTTTGGGATGCACTTTTAGCAATTGATCTCACGTGATTTTCCCAAGAATGGTTATTGCTGATAGTAATACCAAGCATCGAAATGGATGTCTTCCAAGGTATGGTTACTCCTGACAAGCTTATGTTAGGCACAGTGAGATGGGCTTTTCTAGAGAAAAGGCATGATTGTGTTTTGTTTGCATTGAAATCTACCAAGTTATTAGATCCCCATATTATATGTTGTCAACATTTCTCCCTCGTTCGTTTCTGATTGTCTGGCTGGTGTTGGAGCCCTGGAGAGAAGGCGGTATGGAGGGTATTATCATCCGCGAAGCTGTATACTGGACATGAAGTTGCTTCCAACAAATCGTTGATATGGAGTAGAAATAGTGTTGGTGCTAGAATTGATCTTTGCGGAACACCAGCATTTTTGATAAGAGAGTCAGTTGACACTTTGTCGACCACCACATGGAGAGACCTGTTTGAGAGGAAACTATCTAGCAGAGAACATAGCTGGGGAGGCAAGCCATAAGATGAAAGCTTGGCGAGGAGTCCGTGGTGCCAGACTCGATCGAATGCCTTGGAGATATCAAGTGCTACGGCTAAGGTTTCACCATATTTTCCAATAGATAGCTGCCATATATGTGAGACGTGAGCGAACAGGTCACTAGTTGATCTCTGATGACGGAGGCCATATTGCCTATCGCTGATAATACCTGAATGTTCAGGTATTTCATGAGCTCGATGTTGATAGCTTTCTCCAATATCTTTGAAGGTAGGGTCTTTTTGCCTTATTAGGAACTGGTTCTACTCTTGCAATTTTCCAGTTGGACGGGAATATCCCCAATTTGTAAGAGTAGTTGAACAACTTGCAGAGAACAGGTGTTAGTTCGGGAGCAGATTTCTTGAGAACAATCGGTGGGATTCCGTCGGAGCCACAAGCTTTGTTGGGTTGAGACCCAATGAAATCTTCCTTATAGTACGTTGGCAAAAGGTGATCTCGGACATATGACTGTCAATTGGCGTTATGTTTGGAGGTAGTTTTCCCGATGAATCCAGAGTGGAATTTCCAGCAAATAGATGCGCAAAAATGTTGGCTTTCTCCTGGGAAGTTGTGGCTAGTGTTCCATCTTCCTTGGTTAGAGGAGGAAACGAGCTGGAAGTGAAGTTTTTTCCTACAGCTTTAGCGAAGGACCAAAATAAACGGGATCCGTTAGGACATTCAACAAGTTTTGATCTTATTTTGGCATTATGAGCATCCTTTGATGATCGAATCAATTTAAAATAGATATGTAGCGTAAATTCTTGTCGTACTCAGGCATATTCGTGAAGACGATAACGACGAACGGTGCTGCGTCTAAAGACGGCCGCATCAAGGTCAACGACCAGATCATCGAAGTGGACGGCAAGAGCCTGGTGGGTGTGACGCAAGCGTACGCGGCCAGCGTGCTGCGCAACACTTCCGGTCTGGTCAAGTTCAGCATCGGCCGAGAGAGGGATCCGGACAACAGCGAGGTGGCGCAGCTGATCAAGCAGTCGCTGCAGGCCGACAGGGAGAGGGAGGAGAGGCGGCAGCGGGCGGTCGAGGCGGAGCAGCAGCACAGCGACGCCAGCACGGTGCAGCTGACAGGTGAGTGAAGGTTAACAGAACTAACTGACATGTTTATAATAGGGAATTTCAGCATGATTTTTATTAAATTGAACCTAAATTCAAACGATGACTCGAATGCGCGCGAAATATTGATGGCATTTCATTGGACGAATACAAGGTGCGTTACACCGCGTCATACACTTCGGACATACATTCTCATTGGGTAATTCGTCTTGTCACTTGGTCTTGTCACCATTTGTCATGACATTTGTCACTCAATAAAAACCATTCGCGAAAATCACGAACCAATAGATGGCTCTATTAAACGTCAAATCAACGTCAAATTTCAAACTGAGTATGAACAACAAAAACATTGCCGTATGCACTCATTGCAAATTGGTTATTTTGAAATCATTTTGCAAAATAGTGAATAATGAGTTGACTTCGTGAAATACGTACAAGGTTTCCAGTATGGAAAAAATTACTTTTTGTGCAGAGAAATTGCCATTTTGATGTGGACAATGGTGGTATTCATCATTGATATCACACTACAATTCCACAGTTTTCAAACATATGGAATGGTCGGAATGGTCCACTCAACACTTGCATGGACTGGAATGGAGCCATAAAAGCAATCAGCTATTACAACAATATGGTATAGGTATGAAGAAATAATTGAATTCATCAAGAAATATCACTGGCTTTTATGAAGGAGATGGAATTCTAGTGAAGGGGCTGGGAAAAGAAGATATGGTTGGAGAGGCTGCTCAGAATGAACAATATCATCGATTTACATAAACAAGGATCTCCAGCAATTGAAGACTTGAAGTTATTCTCAAGATCGAATCATTGCAATCAACATTTATAAAAGGATTCTAACTGTGCTTCAGAAAATGTATATTATATTATTATAAGGTAGGTACTGGCTTCTTCATTGTAAACAATAAAAATTCATGCAATAATTCGAGTTTTTTCATCAGGGAAAAATGAGGTTCTGGAATATGCACTTCAAAAAATAAATTATTTTTAAATAAAACACAGAAACTCAAAACAATGGTCGCCATATTTGTTGTTCATACTCGCAAGACTTGTAAAGTTAGCCACCAGTGGCCGCACACTTCGTGATTTTCGCGAATAATAGTGATATTCTGAACGTACTGACACATTTCACTTGAACTGAACTGAATCAGTTGACATGCAATTAACGTCATTTGAAAGAAAGCATATCAACTTATTCAGTTCAGTTCAAGTGAAATATTTCAGTTAATTCAGATTGAAAGAATATCACTAATATGACACTGATAGATCACTGAAAATGAAATGAAATACGGAACGATGAACATGATTTCGAGGTTAATCTTTTTCTTCTTCTATAGTTTGCTTCGTAGACATTTTTCTCTCAAGTCACAGATCACCCAACCACTCTGTGCTCGAGTTCTGTGTCTGTGGTTTTGTGCAACGCTTCCTCTTTGGGTCGTCAGAGGGAGCCTCGCACCGCTAAAAATGGTTGTTTGGAACTCTTCCAATTTGTAGCACTTTTGAAGTATTAAACGGTTGTAAAGGAATCAATTCAATCAATCGATTAGAGGAAGTGCTATTTGATATACTGAGTCATGTATAAGACCGTTCACCATATAAAAAGGGCTATTTTCAATCATAGTAAAATTGCCTATTCCTCTGGTGTGCACACTTTTCAATTGTTTCGTAAGACTAGCTCTCGATATGAACAATTGAATGCGAGTTTGGAACGTGGGGTTCTCATATTCGATGATAGATGGCGTGAACGATGGACAATTTCTTGAAAAATTTCAAAATGCGTTTCGAATCTTATTATGAAGTGGAACTAGACTTTCAATGATGTGTTTTCCTTCGTTCGGGACCTGAAGAGTCCTGTTGATGATGCACGAATTCAATAATAGCTGATAAGTAGCATCTAGAGACAGGATGTAGAAGAGACAGAGCGCAACAAATAATCTGTGTAGAAACAACTTTATCTTGACATATCTTTCACGAGTGTAATGTTTTCAGCATATTCAAAATGTTTTTCCAATTTCAATTAGAAATATTTTAAAATGAGAGCATTAGTAGTTTTAGGCAGATATATATTATATTATTAGTTGAATGAGTGTATTGTCTTTTCATCATGGACTGACTGCTGCAATGTGTGAGGATTATTCGAAAATCCGAACATTCGATTTATTTTATGTACCCAAAGTGAGTAAATAAACTATTATCACAGGATTTTCATGAGTTAGGTCTTCGTGTCGTTCATGAATTCACCATTGAAAGTCGAAAATATAACGCACCGTTTCCATTTACACAAGAAATTGTGAAAATGAAAATTTGAACTCAAATGAATGTGTTATAAAGCTTGTAAATTTGGTAGTTTGGAGTATGTTTCGTGAATGGATGGAACAGCAGATTCTCTCCAGCGGATCTTGAAATCTTCTATTCCAAAATGGGCCTAAAATTTAGTTTCATTCACGGTTTCATTTTAATCTGCTGTTATTAGAAGTGAATTTCAATCTTATGTACTTACCTCCCAAATTTTGTTTGTCTTCAAATTCATTTTCTATTCAGGTCGTTTCATACATCTCTTCCATAAGAGAATGGTTGATATTTACCTTGATTTTTTCGTGGGAAAATTGAATGAATGCACATTCTCTTCAGAATTCTCTCAATTCATCACACAGCAGGATATTATCATTTATGCTTTCTTCTCAATATTAAATGAAATTATATTCCAATTTTGACGTTCGCAGAATGTATTGTCAAATTCAAACAAGTTTGAATGAAGAAGCGCGGGGCGACTATGGTGCTCTTGTCACAATGCAAGGTGTGTAACTTAATAACTTAAAACACTAACAGTTGTCATTTCTGTGTCCGAGCTCTTTTTGAGCTAATGCCGTCCAGTGACTACCTTATACTATAGGGAGATTTAGCAATTTTATACCGAGGAAGTACTTAAAATCAATATACTTTTCAAATATTCCATTCTCACCTTCATATCTTACTCTCATTTGGTACCCAACCTATGAAGATAATACAGAGTTGACAGGGACCGGTATGGAAAATTTGAAAGTGGCGCCAGTATGGTCGATATGATCCTCATGTTCTCGGAATCGGGAGTATCTACTGGCCACAAGTTGCCATTTTAGTTGCCATGCAGCCGTGGTCGATTAAGCATCGCGTGTTTGTTCAAAACACCTTCATTGAAACGGGCCGTTCTGCATGATTTCGAGTGATTTCGGGAATTCGAAGGATTTTGCCTGATGTGTGATGAGAACTCGACCTCCCTGCCGATTGATCGACGGATGTCCCGTTAGCTAAATTGGCAGAGCGTTGGGCATGTAACCCAGAGGTTGTGAGTTCGATTCTCACACGAGGCGTTTTTTCATTTTCCATTGTCACTCGAAAATAAGGGCTTTCCATCTTCATCATTATAATAATTATTATACCTCGCCTATAATTGACCAAGACTTCATTCCACTTTGATCCTTCACACTCAATAGACCTGGACAACCACGCACATCCTCCTATTGGTCGTTGTAGGCTTTTATCAATGTCAATGACGTAATAGATGACGATGACGAATATGGTGCTATATATCGGTGCTAATTTTTATCATTGAAAAAAGTATTTGTGATGATTTCAAACAACGAATGATTGAATGAAACAATATGATTTGTTGAGGAAATGGATTTGTTCGCAGGATCTGCCAACACTAGCGTAAGTGATGGCCCTACCAGTCCACTCGTGAACCAGGAAAGCCTATTCGAACATGAACAAGAAAATGTCGAATCACTCAGGTCTCTGTTAGGAGAGGTAATAATACCAATTTTGTTATGTGGTATCAACTGGTTGTGGATTTGTGTGTGTTTTTTCATGTTCGTGTTGTTTTTTTTTATATTTCTGTTCGAAACGCGAGTAATGCTTCTCATCTAAAACCATTAAAAAAACGGGTAAGGATGAAAGCTAAACAATCATTATTTGGAGAGATATTCATGATATTTGTTCAACATTGTTTCATCTTCATTTGGCCTCATTGACATTATCTTTGATGTCATCCTTACCTGATTTTTTTCCAAAGTTTGATCTTTTCAGGATTCATTCGATCTCAGTAATTTATTCATTCATTATGAAACATTCCAACAACAGGGTGATTTTATTTTGATGATCAACAAAAAATGAGATATCACCTCTACTAGTTGACCGATGATGTTAGTACTAGTTTTGATTTTGAGCTGCTTTACTATAAAACTATAAATATCATTGAATATCAAATAATCTGTTATTGCTTTCTTGGTCTGCCGTTATTCAAACTGAAAATACCCTGTTGAACATTTCATTTTACGTTAATAAGGATTACATTGAATGATCGGATGTAAATTGAAAAGATGAATAATGTTCGTTATGTGTTTATTCTGCAGACCCAACGAAAATATAGCGTGTCACAGCTAGAAGTTGTTCGGCTGAAAAACAAGGTAGGCGAAATAGGTGTGGCATGCTAATTCTAGTTTATTTTAATGGGGTATATTCTTAGACCATTCAGTCATCGCCTAATATGTACAAAATATGCCAACATCGAATGACGCATGTTAGCATTCCATAGTTGAATAGGGCGGGGAATTTGAAATCCAACAACTGCAATTGCTCTTTACTAAAGAAAAATATTCTTTGAATACAGTGAAACAAAAGCGATCATTGTGAATGAGAACAATATTTATGGGTTGCGTGCAAGAACTGTCAGATGACCGACCCTGGAGGTGAAACAATGAAACACAACCTCACTTTTCTTATTTGTTTACAAGTGATTGAAATAGTTTTTCACAATTATTTTGGCATACGAGTCGTGTTTTTCGGATATTCATTAATTCAAGCATGCCATCACATTGTGCTGTTGTACAATGCACAAAAAGTGCAGCGGGAGACGAAGGAATCCGGTTGGTACATTATGATTTGAAAGTAAGTACACACTATAGTCACTCATAACTAGTTTTTATTTTGAAATTTGGTAATTTCTCTGATTTCTCATCGGACTTCCTTCTGCAATAGGAGCTAATAGAAATACTCGTGAAATTTCTAAAATAATGCAAGAAGATTAGATTCATGCAATCAAACGGGAGGACTGGTCTGACATGCTGACGAAATATGAGCGTGTGTGTTGTAGACATTTTCAATCTATTAGCTTCTATTGCAGAAGTGGCAGAAGGAATTTTAATAAGAAATGACAAAATTTCATAATGAAAACTATTTGAGATTACTATTTACCTGAAAAATCATATTCCTTCGTCTCTGGCTGCATTTTTTGTGCATTGTACAACAGCACAATGAGAAGGCATGCTTGAATTAATGAATAGCCTGAAAACATTCGATGTTTTACAAAAAAGTGAGGTTGTGCACGCGACCCATTAAAAAAGAGAATCAACTAGGTTCCATCCAGTAAACATACATTATTTTGATAGGTGTCATTCAAGTGTTATGACCTGCCGTTCAATATATGAAATTGTCATTTCAAGCGAATACCTCGTTACAACTGCCACCTTGGTAAAATATGCGAATATGTTTTATCCTTTACAATGTTGGCGTGTTTCTGCGTTCACTACTAGCAGCATATTATGATTGAGGCGAGGGCCCTGAATGGTCTGATGTAGATACCTATTTTCTTAAATGAATAATCTGCAATAATATGATTCATTTTACATATATTTATTTTAATATTATAATACCTAATACAGCTGTCTGATGCGTTCATCAATGTTGCAATATCAGACTAATATGAATTTCAGAATTGCTTCATAGGTTATAACTCTATACCTTTTTCTTGAGCCAAAGTTTCATTTTCTCTGGTGTCAAAGAAGATCGGTCTTATTGACTTCTCAACACTTTTCTCTTGCGAATAGTGCCTGTTTCTTTTCCTTACTCTCCTGACTTCACTTTTACCAACAACATTTACTTTATCTTCCTCTGTGATGATTCCAGCGTCCTTCAGAAGAACTGATGCTATCGCCGCTGCGAATTTGTCTGACAAGTAATATCGATCACAAACCGAATGTTCTCAGTTCGATTCAATTTGAATCATTTCTTTCACAAACACATTTTCTCTCGAAGCAGTTGGAACTTAATGATTTCCTCTTGGAGTATTTGCATTCACATCGTCGAACTTGTGAACTTTTCGCTTGCAAACATCTTGCGTAGATTGTCGGGACATTTCATATCTGTTTGACTTGTCTCTTCTGTTCAGCTTTCCTACCATTTTTGAATCTCTTCTTTATCAACATTGCCTATCAACATTTTTCTGTTCAGTTCTTGTTTGCTCTGATCAGTCAAGAAATAATTTCTTGAGCTGGTACTTTTTGTAGTGAGGAGGAAGTAATTGTCTAAAATTGTTCATTTACGATTACATATCAGAGTTTTGAAATATGTTTGAAAGGTTTTTCTTTGACAGAATAGTCATCAATTCGTCTCGACAATGAATGCCTGAATATTCAGAGGTATACCTGTTATGAAATTGTTGGTTATTTTCCGAAGAGAGGACACTCCACCGATCTCCTGGTTGAAGAACCACTCATTTTCAACTCCAAACTGCTGATAATAACAACGAGTATGACTTGTTTCATTCACCTGAAGGCACCTGTTAGCAGACTGACACCACTTGCCAGCAGATTGAATTCAGTTGACGTGATTCCTATGGAATGTTCGCGAAAAATCCTTCTCAGAGTGCTCACACTCCCCAACCCAAAGTCCTGAAGTGGGACACCCTGTATATATTTTTTTATTCAACTCAAACACCCTGTCGATGATGATGTCACTCCATCGCGCCCCCGCTTCCCCGCTAAAACATGGGACCGCGAACCGTGGGACACTCTGTATATATTTCTTTTTAAATTTTCATTCGACTCAAACGCCCTGTATATAAACAATCAATCTTGTTATTGCCATCGATGTGTTATTGTTCTTATCAGCAGCTTGCTCTACCGCACCGCCGCTTCCCCACTAGAACGCAGGCCGCGTTCCAGTTAAGAGTAAAGCATGTATTTCCCTATCCTTATGGTGAGGCTCTCTTAGTTTAACTACTGAAGGACATACGTGCTTTACACAAACTGGCAAAGGGCGAAAGTAGGAGAGTTGTAGAGGGGAGAAGATATAATTCGTTTGCAAAATGGTTTCGCGTCGATGTTTATAATCAACCATAGCATATTTTTTTCATTACAACTCTCTGTTTGCAAAAATGAAAATTTGCCTTTTAGTAGCGCTCCACCTTACTGAACACCTTCGAATATTGACGTAAGTTTCCTTGTAGCTGATGGAACAGAACGAAACGAAACCCGAAGATCCGGGAAAGCTCGATCACCTCAACGACAGACTGAGAGAGTCCGAACGGCAGCTGTCAACAACCAGAAAAGAGGTGCACACCTACCAGAACATGCTGGAGCAATCGCAAGGCCAATACCAGGCGTTGGAGAAGAAGTACAGCAAAGCGAAACAGCTGGTGCGAGAGTTCCAACAGCGGGAGATGGACATGCTGCACAGGGAGGATTTCTACCAGCAGCTGTTGCAAGAGAAGGATACCGAATACAATTTGCTGGTGAAGACGTTGAAAGATAGGATCATCGCTCTGGAACAGGATCTGTTGGATACGCAAAGGCGAGCAGGTGCGTCTCGATCTATACTACATTCCAACACCTACCTCCTGTCCCTATCCTCCCTAGGAACGCACGATGTTCTTTGAACATTATAGGGATCTCCTTTCGTGCGCTCCAAGCGATAAAAAAAACATTCCAAATGAGGTAGTTGGTGGCGCTGTCTCTGAAAGAATGTTTACACTGACGATATCAATCAATCAACTTTATTATTTCCTAGAAACAACATTTGTTGAAGTCACATTATCTTATCTCTTGAAAAGCCTTTGCTACTTTACCAGAGTTTTGATTGATTTTGGCCTTATTCCGCTTCCTGTTACTCTCTCCTCGTTGACGCTTTTTCCCTTCAACTAGTCTTTGTATTTCTTGTTCCTCCCCTTCGCTAAACACTTTCGACCCGTGTCCGTGATTGAGAAATCTGATACAACAGTGCCTACCTCCAGACACAAAAGATGTAGGAGCCATACTGATACCAAATGACTTGAAATAAGACTTGAAAACACTTAGTGAACACACTTTTTCTTTTATTGTCTTTCAAATACTACGAAGACGTAGAGAGATACTGGTCTATGCCACAGAAAATGCGGGTTAGGCCAGTGTTGCATTTACTTATCCACCAAAATATTGAGATGAATAACTGCAAGGCAAGAAATTCCAATTCCCATGTTTAAAACCACAATCACACAAAAATTTGTAACCTATTATGGTCCCAAACTTTTCAATCTATTACCCTCTGATATTAGAAGTATACAAAATAAATAAATTCAAAAAGCAAGCCAAAATCTTCGTTTGTATTAATTATTCTTACAATATATTGCAATTACCAGTGATATTCTCTTTTTGTTTCTTCTTTTCCTTATAACACTCATAGGAATGATTGATTATAATCCATTTTAATCTGCTAGTAGATATTTCTTTCTTTTGTTTGTTAATAATTTAACATAAAAATGTATGATGAGAGAATGGCCCACAATACAAGCTTAGCTTAGGTTGCTTCTCTCATCAAAAATTATTGTTAAAATCTGATTGAAAAAACTTACTTACTTATTTACTTACTTACTATATGTTGCTGCCATCTCGTTACAATGAAACGAATGCTGTTCAAGGCCATTGTTGCATTGATGTCCATCTTGTGAAGAATTTTTGTAGGGAAAAACAGATTATCTGAAATTTGTGGCTTAGGCCATTGTTGCGCTGATAGCCTCAATTTGTTTTCTACTTTTGATACCTTGTATCTCAGGACATACGATTAGTTGGAAGCAACTTCATGTCCAGTACACAGTTTCGCGGATGAAAGAACCCTCCATACCGCCTTCTCTTCCAGGGCTCCAATACCAGCAAGGCAAATCAGAAACGAACGAGGGAGAAATGTTGACAACATAAATATGGACTTGCCAACAATAATTCTGGAATGGGGATTCAATAACCTGGTAGATTTAAATGCAAACAATACAGCATGCCTTTTCTCTAGAAATGCCGATCTCACTGTGCCTAACATAATCTTGTCAGGAGTAACCATACCTTTGAAGGCATCCATTTCGCTTGGTATTACTATCAGCAATAACGTTTCTTGGGGAAATCACGTGAGATCAATTGCTAAAAGTGCATTTCAAAAACTTGGTTTTCTGCTTCGGGCCGGGGCTATTTCACTTCCAGTCAGCTGCTTATGATCTATGAGGCACAGGTCCGACCTGTCCTGGAATACTGCTCCCATATTAGGAGTGCAGCGCCCAAACATACCCTCAAACTGTTGGATTCTGTCCAAAAAAGGGCAATTCGTCTCGTGGGCGATGCCTCGCTCACAAACTCACTCACTTCTCTGGAACACCGTAGAAAAGTTGGCGATCTGGCTGTTTTTTATAGATATTTTCATGGACGATGCTCTTCTGAAATATCAACAATTGTTCCTCCCTTGGTAGTCCCCGCGAGATTAACCCGTCGAGTTGAGGCTTCGCACCCCTTCGTGGTCACTTTGGAGACCTGCAGAATATCTCTTTCGAGGAGCGAGGCTCTGGAACACATTGCCAAGGGAGGTGTTCCCCGAGGCATATAACCTCCAGAAATTTAAGAAGAACACCAATTCCTATCTTTTTATAGGATATCCGACAATTATACTGCAAAGCGTTATTGTTATATCAATATAAAAATAAAACAACTCTCCCGACTATTGTTCACTTCTTCGGTACTAGATATAAACAAGGATCATCCATTATTCCAAGAGCTAACAAAACGATAGGTCAAAGGTGCTATTATTATCTTGGACCTAAAGTTTTCAACGAGTTACCACATGAGATCAAAACATCGAATTCGCTCAGTATATTCAAAAAAAATATCACAAAATGGATCAAAGAGAAATCTCGACTAACAATTCACCAAATTGTAGATTTCAAAAATTTTTATTAGTGTGAAATGAGCAGTCGAGATGGAATTTGGAGATTGGAATTAAAACTAAAAATCAGAAATGTATAAGTGTTATCACAGAATACCTGTATACCTTTATTGAATCATATGCCACATACAAGTGACCTAGTCATTTTGTGGACTTTCTTTTTTATCTTTATTTTTCAATTTTAATCATTCGAATTATTTGAATTATCGATGTCCTATTTATTTATTATATTTATCATTTTCTATTTACAATGTAAAATCTTTATATCGCATTTATAATGTTATCATTATATTTTGGAATAAACATATACATACATACATACATACATTTTCGTAGGAACCAGAACATAAAAAAATACATTGATAGGAAGATAAGAAGCAGTTTGTCGATTTTATTCTGACACCCGTAATTACAACCTACTATTCGACTTTCTCACAGGTCTGCCGATGGCGTTGCCCTACGAGAACAATCTGAAGCAGCTGACGCCGCAGATGTCGCGCCGCAAACCGCCCAAGCCCGTTTACCAAACGCTGCGGCCCGACTTCTCCGACACGGAAATGTCCGACGCCAGTCCCGACGAGGACAAGACGGCGACCGTCGAACGGAAGTTGCCGATCAAGGACGAGTTCGATCGAGCCGTGCCGCCGCACGAGCTGCTCGACACGTCGGCCAGCAAGAGCAAAGCCGAGTTGGCGAACAGCAGAGCGCTGTCCAACAGGTCAGTTTCAAACAAGAACATTCCACTGTATTTATTTATTTATTTAATACATAGGTTACCCAACAGAGTATTGAAACTCCAATGGGGTTACACATTTTACATTATATAGAGTGTACACTTGATGAGAATACAAAAACAATAAAAGAAAATTAAAATAATCCTACATATTATGTAAATAGCGCTCCTAATGGGAAGTGATACTTACTATTTATAATAACATAATTAATTAATGATAATGTTGATAGAAAAACGAAAAAAAAAATATGAAAATTTGTATCCATGTGAAGTATATACAGTCGCATTAAAAAAAAGCGTACAAGTATATTACAGAGAGAAATTAACGTCATCCTATTCTGCATAAAACGGGCTATCGGGAATGATTGTTCACCAAATGTTGACAGTAAAGTTGTCATAGGTTCTCGAAACCACAAAGCATTGGCTGACCAACTACCAACTTGATGTTGACCTCCATTGAGGTCCCTCAGCCTTATCATTCAATATTTCAAGAAGAAATAATTTTCTAATCAATTTATCGTACCCTTTTACCCACTCGAGGAGACACTTTCTTACAAAAATCAAAGACAGAGAAAGATATATGGATGTACTCTTCCCAGGACTTGTGGAGGATGGAAGATGCGAGGATCCTTTATCTAAGCGAAAAACATATGTTTGTCCTTGTCTGGAAAAACATATGATTTGCTTCAAAATCGTTCGTGGTTATGTTTGATTGATACTGCTTGTCTAGTGTCCGTACTGTGATATACAAAGAACGTCAACACAGCAGTGTCAAGTACATTTAGGAACTGCAGGCAGATCCAGGGTGCCACCTCGCCTAATTTTTGACCGCTTACAATATACTCTCACGCGAGATCTTATGGAAGTCATACGATCATTTGCTTTGCAGGCAACTACCCAGCGTGAAGAAGGGTTCGCTGAGCAACAGCAGCTCCGATTACGGCCTCGACGAGAGCTACAACTCGTCGGACGAGGTGACCGATTCGGTGTTCTCGCAGGTGAACGAGGTGAAGCAGAGGCTGTCGCAGGCGGCCGCCGCCACGAGGACGTCCTCCTTCTCCAGCAACCGAACGTCGGAGCACGTGGATCAGAACGCGCAGTACGTGGTGCAGTACACGCAAGTGCAAAAGGTATTCGTTTCGTTGATTTTATCATTAGTATCATTCAGAAGGCGTCATTGTTCATCAGATTGGTAAAATAATTCACCTATCCTCCATGAGATGTTTTGAATTTATTTCTCATCTGATTGCGATCGGAAATATTGAGAACGAATTGATATCACAACAAGTTTTGAACAAATGGAATTGTTATATTTTGGTGATATCTCGGAAACTTGGACATTGTGCTTGCTATCTATAAAACAAGTTTGAAAATAGCTAATGGTTTTTTCACTATAACTTCTTCCATGTGTCGAAAAAATTTATAAAATAGGTGATTATACAAACAATTTCGACATATAAGAGACACCGATTTGTCAAAGATACATGCCAGGTTAGTAGTTTCACAGCATGAAATTCGTTTTCTGTCTGTAAAGTCACATCAAGTATAGGGCACCACTCCATATCAACAAATTTGTTAGTACTATATAATAAGCTCTCTATAAGTGAAGAGGAAAAAGGAAATACTGAGGAAAGGTTGCCATCAACCAATACCAAATAGAAACCTGAAAATGTGCAAACATCGCCCTTTGTAATAACATTTTCAGGAAGCTAGTGAGCTCTATTCTGAACTAAGTTATTCATTGTTCAATCCTAACCCTAGACATTTTTCATATGTCTGTCAAAATCCACCATACTGTAACGAATATGGGTTTGCACAATGAAGTTCAGTACAGAGAACACTACCAATGAGTATATCTATATTCTTCCTAAATTTGACAATCTAAAATAGAGATAGTCTTAACATGAGGCTGGCTACAATAACATAGAATGAGTAACTTACCTAACACCAGGTCCAATTGCGTTACGCAGATAGTATCGCATGAATCTGTATATCAATCACACCACTAGGCTGTTAAATATATCTTATGAAAGAGAATATGATTTTTGAAAACAATTTCATGCAGCCGTAAATAACGTCTACCATAACAACAATCTGGAAATCTGGACAGGATGTTAATTTATTCTATTGATAGACCGTATGTTCTAGTATTCTGCTACAATACTGACAAGTTTATAATGAAAAATTTCTGATGTAACATTGCAAGTATGAACATTGTTCATAGTTACACAAATAATGAGAGCTGGATGTATAAAGAAAAAACTGTTGTTTATGCAATGATAAAATTCTCGATTCATTGATGTATTTGACTTTGAGTAGAAAATGGAAACTCATCAGTGCAGTGATAAGACATTAATGTTCGCTAGGGTCCCTTGATGTAAATTGACGTATTTGTCATCTTAACAGGGTACGGACAGATCCTCGTCCCCTCTCACTCTGAAGTGTTTGTGAAACAGTTCCATATTTATTCATTTCTGGGGATAAACACTAGATTTCTGACATTTGTTGTTTTTTAGGTTATATTGAGGACATTGGCATATCATACGTTATTTCTACATGTAATTTCTCATTCAACTCTACATATTATATTCCAATGATGATAATTTTCGAGTTTTTGATTTTCTCAACTCCAGCATAATCTTTGTGAGGCAGTGAGCAAATTTTTCAGAAAGTTTAATACATTTTACCAAATGGGACTGTTCTTAGGAAGTACCTATATCAATAAATGAATTTTGATTTCAGACTAAGCCTTATGGTTGAGAAATGGTGAAAAATTTTATGTAGGTATTTGAACTGATGTGCTGATATGTGTATATATTCATGTTGGGAATCATTTTTTAGTTTTTCACGAACACTCAATATTTCCTGAATTTAGGTATAATTTTTTAAATGGTAGGGCATATGCCTCTTCTTGTAATCCTACAATCAAAACTGTTTCTACTAAAATGAGAAAGTATAATATGTGATTTCGTATTAGTTTTACCTCGAATATTTTGCTGATGTATTTACCAATTTTCCCCATTCGGTCACTTCACTTTCCATGTTCTAAGTTCCATTGCATTCGATGGAAAGCTAACAAATTCGAATTTGCCATCCAACTGATTGATAAAGTTTATCGCAGCACATTTTACTTTCCTTCCAAAACAGAATTGAATAATGTCGTATTAACATGAAGCATGAAATTACAGTTTTGTAAGATATATTTTAACGCCTATGAATGTGACGTGACAGCAATGTCATGTCAGGGACGCCTTGAAAGAGAAAGGAACTATGATCTGTCCGTACCCTGTTAGATGACAAATACGTCAGTTTGCATCAAGGGACCCTAGTGTTCCCATTTCATCGAAATAATGGCATGAAAGCTAAATATAGATAGGTAGGAACTTGTAGGAAATTTGTGGGCCAATGAACAGACAATATTATACCTCTCGTCTACTAAATAAGAGAAAAGCTCATCAGTTTTTCCGATATCGAAATAGATCAGTAGTGACAGCCTCATACCAATGGATTCCTATCTCATTCATACTAAATATTTGAGCTTGCTATCTGGCCTACCGAACGTCGATCAAGCATACACTTCACTTCTCTAACTTACCCTGTAGGGTTAAGTTCGCCTTCTTGGTACAAGCGGGGTGGTCATGGGGTGAGTGAGTAGATTAAATTCAGTGACGTCGATAGACCTCGTGACGTTTCCGGAAAGTCTTTCGTGGTCAAATCACTGAATAGCTAAAAATCTGAAGGGTATCTCCCATGCAGTAATGAATTTGCGCCTTCCAAGTGCCCACCTGATGTTAGGTTTACATATTTGATATTTTCATTTCATCATCTAGATAATCTGAGAGTCCAAAAGAAATAGAATACGTAAAACTGAATGGAGAAAACAATACAGGTGGATGCACCTCTATATTAAGTGGTCTGACCAATCAGAAAGTGTACCACTGACGTCACTCTATTTATAGTCACTTTAGTCATGAGTATAAATTATCAAAATGGTCGCCGATGACGTGTGTAACCGGTTACGTTCGACGGTTGAAATATGACGTTTGACGTATACCAACCTACTCATACAAAAATTCGATAACTAAGCCTCGAATACGAAGAAATATAATCATCATTAACACGAATTTCTCTCAAGGTGAACCAGTACTCTTCGCACCATCACAGCGTGAGCGCCGCCAATCAGGGTTCTGGGGTCGTTTACGCTAGCATCCAAAAAGAGGTCAAAGACGCCGGTAGCTTTCAGCAGGCCATGCCCGAACACTGGAACGACGGCAGGGGAGCCAACACCAATATGGCCGTGGGTCCGCCTGCATCTTTGGCAGAACAACTGAAGCAAGTGAGTGACGTCATGAGGTGGTAGATGTTGAAATGGGTTCTCGGTGGTGGACCCAATCTTCAGTTGTTTTGTTTGATATAAACAATTGGGTTTGGGATCGAGGAGTGGGTTTCCCATATTCTATGATAGATGACGTGAACGATGGAAAATTTCATTTCGAATTTTTTGAAGTTCAGCTGACTTTTAAGAGAGGCTAAATCTTTCGAAGCATATTTCCATCACGTGATATGTTGAGATTCGTGTTAATTGATGAGTATTTCCAAAGCAGATTTGTTTTCCAGATGAAAATGTATCTTTTGTCGAACTAGATTCACCGTAATTATTTCAGGAGAGCTCCAGAGGGTTACCTGATTGCCCTATTATTTTTTCGGGGTTTCATATTTATATTTGATTGAACAATAGAAGATATAACTAACTTTATTGTTCCACGATTTTTTTTTGTATCTAGCTCAAAGGAAAAAACAATGGACTCTTGAATCCAAATTCAAATATAGGCTCATTCAAGACATCCATTGAGATTACTCGACAGAGATAATAAGTATAATTTGGAGATTTTGAGAATTTGTCAGCCACAGATCACACTGAATTTTGGCACTATAAAAGCTTATACACGGTGATGATGTATGTATATTTGTAACCTAACCTAACCCTGTACTGTATCGCCTATCAAATTTATCCAATTGAAATCAGAAACACGCTGTATACAGTTTGTCTCACTTCAAACGGCTCCCCTCTATATCTCAGCTAATGGTCGTGCCATCAAGATGATCAGTTTCTCAGAGACAAAAGGGGTTGATTTTTTATGAAATATTAGGATTTTTTTGCAGGAAAACTAACTTCATGTTATTTGCATTATATGCATTCCGAAGTAACAGAATTGGCTTATTTTTTTTCATTATCTGCGTCGAAAAAATAGTGAATTTTAATCAACTGCAAAATTTGGAACGTTCAACAGCTCCATTAGGTAGAAAATGATGATTTGAAAGAAAAAACAAGATATACTCTTGTTGTTGTTCACGAGTAAATAATTAGTTACGTTCGCAAAAATGTTATTTTGATGTACCTATTTTTTTGAAACCCCTTCGTAGGCATCATATGGAAATATACATAATATTTAGGTTTGAAACCATGAATAACAATATTATGAGATCAGTTTTCCTGTACAAAAATTCATAATGAACAATTTTCGCTTAAAAAAATGGAACCTTTTAAAATTGCGCGGCACTGTCCAAAATAATGTTCGTCTCGAAAAAACTGATTATATTAATGGTTATTCATATCGGTCCAAATTTGATAAAACTCGCATGACTAATTGCTGAGATATACTGGCCTGGCAAGAATACTTTTCCAATAGAGAAACGATTCATGGGTGTCGTTGTCCCACCTACTCGACCACCTACCATGTAGAGGAGGGTTTGTTTGAAGTGAGACACGTATTATTGAATCTTTGATGGATGAATCACAGATGAATTATATTTCAGGTGCTGGCCGAGAGGGAGAAACGCTTCGGATCGGATAGTCTGAACAGCTCGACAGACGAATTGAACGAGAAAATCAAAGATGATCCTGCTCACCACTTACTGGAAGAAATAAGGCAAGCTGTCAACGAAGCCAACGCTAAGGGTGAGTCTTCTATCAACTGAATGGAAACTCAATTGTACTTCTCAAGGGATGGTTACCAAAACCATGTTTCATAGCAGCCCGGCTAAAACCGTAACTCTCACAAGTGTAGCATCTTCGCGAGGGAGAGGGGGGGGGGGGCGCATTTCTGATGTGTAAAAAAATGGTTCTGATATTGAAAATGTACATAGTTATTTCATCACTGAAATTTGTGTTCAGATATTTTGTGCCTAGCATTTGACCTGAGTGTATTTTCAAAAATGTCAACTAAACCGACCTAAATGATAGATAGCAGCTCGGTTCATTTTTGTTTCGAAATGAACTTTCTGTTATTACGAGTATTCATTGTGTCCAATCAGAATCCGAAGCACTATAAACTGAAATGCGGAAAGCTGTCATCTCTACCAAGCATTAGGTCAGATTTGTTGTCTGAAAATTGATTTTTACCGAATCTATTGACCCGACTTCACATATAAAAATGACTTTCAGAAGGTCTGTGTTATTGGTATCTCAGGGATATTATTATCCAACTACCCGACCGACATCATGCAAATCCATGTGTTATTCTGTTGTAGCGAAGAGAGTAGCCCCTGTAACGTTATCGCCCCCAGGTAGCGCGCCGTGGCAGCCGCAGAGCGTCGCCGCCGCCGCGACGCCCCCCTCCCCCTCAAGCCTGTCGTCGGGGTCGGCGTCGCCGTCGCGGCACGACGCCTCGTCGTGGGGCGCCCAGACGGACCTCAGTCTGTCGTCATGCAGTCTGGGCAGCGACAAAAGGAGCAGCGCGCACTTTTGGCACTCGGTGCCTATTCTGGATTGGAACAAGGATCAGGTGAGGATTAGTATAATACATAACTATACCTTTTCAACATCAATTTTAGAATCGGTAAGTTATATTTCGGAAGAGGTAAACTCGGTTTCAGAAATGGTTAACTCAATTCCAGAATCGTTGAGTTGAATTTCAGAAAATGTCCATTCAATTTCAGAAAGAAAGGTTCAACTTGAAATAAATAATCCTGATTACACATTCACTATCGTGAATTGAATAAGTCACTGTATGAATCTAAGTTCATAGGATGATGAGCGTGCATTTAAAATGGGCATCCTACAGATACCATAGTGGTAGTTTTGGATAATGCACCTGCACATTCAAGAATATATAGATTAGATTTGCATGAAAAAAGTATTTCAAGATGTTCTCATTTGCAGATTGGCACCTTACAATCCCCAATGTTGAACCCAATAATTGAACATATTAGGGAATACTTTCAGGTCAGAAGTGAAAAGCTTCTTGCAAGAGCATCACCAAAGGGTCATAGCCGGAGATCCGAACAGATTGCTCAACCAAATAGAATTCAGACTGTGATGCCTTGAAGAATGTTCAGGTCATCCAATGAAAACATATACCTCAAAGGTGTTTGAATTCTTTTAAATCATGTGCAACGCCACTATCCTTCTGCGATTCGAATTATAAAGATTAAGTTAAGTTATGTTCTTTATTGGTTTTTGAAAATTTAAATATTCTGAAGATGGTTTGTTCTTTCCACATGCAACTAAATATATGTCAAACAAATATAATAATTCATTTTCTGAAATACTACTGTCTGAAATTGAATGGACTTTTTCAGAAATTCAACTCACCGATTCTGAAATTGAGCACCATTTCTGAAATCGAACTAACCAATTCTGAAATCGAGTTTACCTTCTCCGAAATACAACTTACCGATTCAAAATTGAAGTTGAAAAGGTATAGTGTGGAAAGTGACATGTTAAGCACGACGCTACGTAGCGTCAAGATTAGGAACTTCAAGGTGGCGGATCCAATATGGCAAAATGGTTTTCGGAGTCAGAGATTCTGAATCCTTCGTGGAAATTAGGAAATCCAAGATGGCAGGTCCAATATTGCCGACGAGTTTTGTAATTATGATCCGATTCCATTCAAAATTTGTATCTGAGGGTTTGCCGGGTCGGGGTTTATGATTTTTTCGTCGAAATTTGGAAATTCGAGATAGCGGATCATATATGGCGGACAACATTTGTGATTATGATCCGATTCCATTCAAAATTGGTATCTGGGGGTTTCCGGGGTCCTATAATATAACTCCTTCGTCAAAATAAGGAAAGGAAAGATGGCGGATCCAATATGATGGTGGTTTTGTGATATATAGTAGTATGAAAAACTATGATGGAACAGCTTGCATAGATAGCATGTAAATTTCCCATCGGAATGGAGCAGCACCTTAACAAATCCGCCGCTGCAAGTCAACGGCAGCGCGCTGCTGCTGCTGACTACTTCCTACTTATCTTACATATTTTGCAACTTTGATAGCTTGACATAATAATTTTTTTAAATATTAAAAATTGACAAGTTACACACAGTTGTATCCATAATGTTATCCTGGTTTATGAGAATGAATATACAGGGTAGGGTGTCTTGATAAAAAAATAGAAAGTCAGTACGATTTCCGGATACGAAAGTTTGTACGATTTCCGGATATTAGCTGAAAACATGACCAGTAACTTGCCCTCAAGACCGAAACCATGACATTTTCTCATCGTTCCTAGGTGTGCCAATGGTTGATAGCGATCGGAATGGAGAAGACGTCAGCAAATTCGTCTAGCTGCAAGTCAACGGCAGCGCGCTGGTGTTGCTGGTGACTACTTCCTACTCATCCTACTTATTTTGCAACTTTAATAGCTATTGACATAATAATATTTTCAAGTAATAAAAATTGACAAGTGACACACAGTTGTATCCATAATGTTATCCTAGTTTATGAGAATGAATATACAGGGTAGGGTACCTTGATAAAAAATCGAAAGTTCTTACGATTTCCGGATACGAAAGTTTGTACGAATTCAGGATGTAAGCTGAAAACATGACAAGTGACTTGACGTCAAGACCGAAACCATGACATTTTCCCATTGTTCCAAGGTGTGCCAATGGTTGCTAGCGATCGGCATGGAGCAGCACGTCAACAAATTCGCCGAGCTGCAAGTCAACGGCAGCGCTCTGCTGCTGCTGACGTCGGCCGATTTCAAAATTTTGGGCATCACCAGCGACGACAAGAACCGCCTCAAGCGCAAGATCAAAGACCTCAAGCTGCAAGCTGAGAAGGAGAGGAAGCAGATCCAGCGGGATCGCAAGGAGAAGGAGAAGTTGCAGCGGAAAGCGGAGAAGGCGAGTAAAAAGAAGTGAAATTGTCGATCGTTTTATTTTGATCGATGTTGAAGGTGCCAGGTGTGTCGCGTATCTTTGCCGATTTTATTAATCGTAAGTCAGATACATAACGTACTGTTTATGTATCATAAAAATGTGCTCGTATTAGTGTAGTAGTACCAGTTGAGGCATGTTCTAGGTAAATCCTTTCAAATGTTTTCGATTATGGGGTTGGGCTCACTGAATGAACAGTGAATGTCCCAGTATATCTGTCCTAATGGAATAACTCATTCAGTTGAGAAGATAGAGATTTGAAATTTTCACTATTTGATATTAACAAAAGGGCTTTCGATTTACCCAGGAGTGACCCAGGGACTATGGCTGACTAAGTTAAAATGCCACCAAAATATTGAACACCTTGTATTTTGAATACTTAACTCAGCAACATTAGAAAAAACTACGTGTTCATCTTAAAATGAAGAAAGGATTCGCTCCTTTCATCTCCTTACGATTTTCTTAGGTCAAAACCAACCATGGTTTCTACTTGAAACAATAAAAATGGCTTCAATATCAAATAATTTATTATTTTTTGGCGGGTACGTCGAAAAGTACCTGTTGAAAGTTTTTCCCGTTTTGAAAAATATCCAAACATAAATAGATGGTGCCATTTCAAATAACAAAGTCACTTTCGGTTTACTTTCGATTTTTATTTTGCTCAAATAAAAGGTTCTTATTTTTATATCAAATCGTGAAAATTTCGAATTTTCCTCTGAAATAAATTAGATATTTCCGTGGAACAGGTATACTGGAATAACCTCTGGAATGTCTGTACGAAATGATACCACAAATTCCAGACACTAGGACAATTGTTCCAAACTTAACATACAAAAGGCTCTGTTTAACTGGGCGTCAAATTTCAATATTCTTGATAGAAAATATTTTTAGGTATCCTAAACAATTTTCATATAGCTAATATGAATCACATGACATTTTTTTCAGGCGACGGCCTGTATTCTATTTCATAATTCTGTTTCACGTAAAAATGTTCCTATCATCCATATGAAGTAAACTAGTTTTTTTATTGGTGCAATAACATTTTTATAGGCAAACAATTTAGGAAAAAATAGCGTTGAACATAGTTATGGAAATACATGGAAGATTAGAGTGATTTACATCAACGTGGATAGTCGTAATATCCATTAGACAAATTTTGGGCATTATATGCTTTATGAGATTTCATGCCCAAATAATGGGCTTGTGATTCAATAACAACTAGGTCCTAACCTCAAAACCGAATAAGGATATACCTAGTTCCTTATCCAACTGGTATAGATATTTGTATATATCAGTAAAACTGGAAGATTTTTAATTTAAGACTTATTTGATGCTTGAGTACAGGGTAGCGGACTCATCAATTACATTTATTCGCCATCTACCCTTATCAAATTGAACAGGATGGCTTAACAAGAACGAAACAGACTGAATAACTACCATGGAAACGCTGAAATAAGACGAATCCTCGGGGTACATAATAATGATAATCTTTCAATATGAACTAACTGAATGATTTCACTTGAACTGAATGGAATTGAAGTCTTTCGAAAGAACTCATGTTAACTGATCCTGTTCAGTTCTAGTGGAATTTTTCAGTTAGTTCAGATTGAAAGAATATCACATATTATCGCGTCCTCAACTGTCACAATAATTCATATCTCCCCCACTTTGCTGACCAATAAAATTTAACCTCAATTTGGAAAGGTTGAAATGGTCTTCGTCCCCATTTCTAGTATTGCCAGCATGAAATTTATATTATTTAACGTTTGAACTCTGAAGTCAACAACAAGGACAACAAGGGAAGACAATTGTTTTTTCTCTCAACCTAGCAAATTGGAGGAAAGATTAATGACATAGGACAGTTCCCCATGAATCAAAAATCATCCTATTTCAGATCATTTCGAAAATTTGTGGGCGTGCATAATTGAGCATACTCTATCTGTCTGAAATATGTTATTCAATACAGTGTCGCCACTTATATCAGAAAATAGCAGCTAATTCAACATTTCCAATGGAACACCCAGTATATTATGTCATTTTTGGAATCCTTATTGGATTCCTCATAACTACTCTTGATCATTTCCTATACCTATCTGTGTCAGTTTTCACGATAAAAATTGTTGTGTCAGTTTTTTTGGCGAAACCTGATACTAGAAACGATTTTTTTATAATGCAAACTCTTTAGGTATTCTGCCGATAAACCGCAACTCAGTTCAAGCACACAGGGAGGCTCAGAATCAACTTCCTTGGAATGGTTTGTGAATTTGTATTTTGTGAAAAAATCGTAGTTTTTCCAAAGGGTTCTACACAACAATTTGACAAAATAATTTGTATCGCGAGAACTGTCACAGGTATATTTATAGGAAAAAGTTGAGTAGTTCTAAAAGCATACCAAAAATAACATAATATAAGGAGTATTAGAACTTCTGTTCTTCTTTTCACTATTTAATATCTTCTTTTTTTATATTATTTCAATAAAAATCTCAATGAAAGATTTCTGACTCTGACATCTCATTTATTATTTTCTGTCTACCTACTGTCTTTCAACATAACATATACAAGGTATTTATAAAATGATGAAACAACATTAACAAGGAGTGTTCCATTTGAAATAACGAAACAGCAATTACTTTCTGATAAAAGCAGCAACACTGCAATGACAACAATATTTTAGACTGATAGAGCATGTTTAATTATCCACGACCACGAATTATCCGAATGATTCGGCGTCCTGTTCTCCAGATACTTCCAATGTTCCAATTTCCATCCACCGTGATACACCTTGTATACTACAACACAAAGCTCAAATGTAGGAGAAGGACGATCTAGCCTTCAGAGCCATCTAGTGGCAAAAGTGCAGACGTCCATAAGTAGATTGTTTACTTTTTTAAACAACTATACCTCGCGAATAAGTTGACCAAAGACCCCTACGTCTGCGCTACAGGGAGACAAAACTTCTGAAAATCTCAACGTGTCCCACTGATAAATGATGAGAAACCCACACTCTCAAGACTGAGAGATTCAACGGGAATTGTTCAAACAATCTATTTATACATGGTGGGTCCCGGTCGATGGTACCTTACGACTTTTACGGAGAACCGGACATAGGATCATTCTGAAAATTTAGTTTCTCTTGGTCTAGCGATCTAAAATATTTTCAGCAATGCAGCGTTGCCGCTCTTACCATAAAGTAGTACCAACTTCGATATCTCAAATGGAGCATCCTGTATTTCATTGCATTACGTCAGGATACGTCAGACAACAAGAAATTCACACACAATACCACCTAATTCCACCAAGTATATGATGATATATGAAATGCATTTCATCGATTGAAATATTCGTCGATACTATAAAAACAACCGGTAATCATAAATTCTTGGAGTTCAATTTTGAAATGATATTCTCGTCTGTGTACATTTTTTATTTCGTCAGATGAATGATTATAGAATTTTGCTCCCTTATAAAGATGGACAATTTTCATACAGACGAGTTGAATGTTTCTGAAGCCTTATCAATTCACCGTGCCTGGTAGCGATTTTACTAAATATACTGCACGCTAGCACAAACCACGCCCACCATTATACGTCATATCTCCAAACATTACCGATATACTCGGAGTCAGCACATCGCACTAAATATACTGTGCTCCAACGCAAGAATACACTTTTTATGATTTTGACACGAATTCGACTGAAGCTCTCTCGTTGTCAATCTCTTGTACGCAGTAAATTCATATACCCAAATGGTCTAATGGTTAGCGCTGTCGACTTTCAGTCTGAAGGTCCATGGTTCGAATCGCTGTGAACTTGAACTTTTTTTTGCAACTTTTTTTTTCACCAATGTTTTTTTACTTCATTCTGGTTCTCCTTTTTCAGAAAATATTTGAAGTCAAATAGTGCGTTTATTAAATGTCAGTAGATAGTAAATCAAAAGTTGAGTTAGAGATATGTAAGCCGTTCTGACCAATAATGAATAGTTTCAACACAAAAGAATCCTAGAGTTGAAAAATCTTGATTTTGGACACCCTATATCTCTGTAATCATTCCCGCTTGACCTTGAGTCTGATGCATTGATGAAATCAGATCTTCAGGGAGAATCTAAAAATGCAATGAAATACATGGTGTCCCATTTGAAATATCAAAGTTGCTACTACTTTATGGAATGAGCGGCAATGATCCATTGCTGGAAAATCGAACATGAACCACCCTGTATAAGTAGGCATTTATCTACCTTCTCCTCTGAGTTTTCCAGTTTGTTTCATTTTCGTAGGGCCACTGAATTTGCAGATTGAATTATGATTGATGCATTCTTCATATCAATGAATACGACCCTGTATTCGAGTTAGAGTATGAAACTGATTCCTGTCTACGACTTTTTTGAGTTCCTTCTGGTCAAAGACTCCAGTCCAGTGACTAGCTGTGTAATCTGTTTTTGTTTTGGAAAATGGTTTTACACTAGGTTAAGTATAATTTATTTTTATCCACTTTTTTAGTACCTATTTTATTGAAATTTTTAATACTAACTTTGTGATATTCACAATAACTTGTAATGTTGAAAGTTATATTTTAAATGAGAAAAAATATGTGATCATTGTAAGATATGTTATAATTTATTGATTTTATGTTTCGTTTTTATTCTTTTTGTTTTACTATTATTCTTTGCATTGATTATTTTTTTATTCACGTTTCTTCGTCATCTCATTGGTTCAGTACTACGTGCTAGCTACACTTTCATGTTGATTTGACGGTGTTTTGACAAAGCTCGGGATACATTTTACAGGAAGAACAAAAAAATGCCAATTTTATCTCAAGCCGCTTTGGAATTGATTTTGTTGAGACTGACTTATTTTATTTGGCACATGTGAAAACATCGTCAGTGTTTATTGACCACTGAAATGTAGAAATTTTGAATTGCTCAAACAATTTCAGCCAAATACATTTAGGAAAATAGCAAGAATGGAATTGTAGTAAGTCTCATTTTGGTAGTTTGCAAATGCAAAAATCTGCAGTGTCTTGAAGCCATAATAAAAGTCTGATATTAGCAACATTTTAGAGTATGTTCCTTAAAGTACTATTGATGGAGCATTTGCAAACTATCAAATGGTTTTTCGTTCCATTAGGGAAGATGATTTTGGATCGTTTCCTGAATGGAATTGTTCGTTTACCTAAATTATCAAGATCAGGTGATTTCCTGTTGAATTTTGATCAATTTGAGCTACATTCCTGCAGTTTTATTCATGAAATGAACCATTTTTAATTCCTTGTCATACGGACACATGTCATTTAGATTTCATTTATTTTTAAGAATTCATGACCAGACACTCAAAATTCTAACAATACTTATTGCCAAAATTCGAGTACCGACCATCCTAAATCATTAAAAAATCTAATATTTATAAATAACGATTTCATTTCTACAAATGAATGAATCTTTGTTTTTCATTATTTAGTATGTTCATCAATATATTTATCTCTGCAATATACACTCGTGTCACCGTCAAGCAAAAACTGTATCTCGATCGTTTTCTAGTAAAATTGAATAGTGCTCTCCTCGAATCTTCAGAATTCTTGGAAAAATATTGATCATATTTTCTTGGAAAACGATTTCGATTTAGGATCTCTTCACTTCCTTGCTTGACAATTGAGATAATGATGAAGAATTTATTAGAATTGAGCGAAATAGCAATGAAATTGAAAATATCCAAGTCGTCAATGGTAGATTTGGTTTTTTATCAATTTTTATCAACCATCTGGATTTTCTCTTATCCATAATAAATATTTATCTGCATTCTACAGGGTGTTCGACCAATAACGCTTCATAGGCAGATCTGATAGGAACACATGTCCTTTAATAGTTAGTTAGATATTCAGGGTGTTGGATTTGAGAAATAAAATTCGGATTTTAGAAATAACTGATTTTGGTGAATGATTTTCTCTTTCAAAAGACGTCGTGGTAACTTTTTCTCCCATATTTGGTTCGTCACTGATGACATTTCAATAATTCTCAATTTCTCCCTGTTACTTTTGTTGAAAAAACACCAATTTCAACTTAACTAAAACTTTTTCTCCCATATTTGGTTTGTCACTGATGACATTTCAATAATTCTCAATTTTTCCCTGTTTTCTTGAAAAAATACAAACTTCAACTGAGCTAAAATGGTTTCCAACATATTTGACCCAAAAAAGAAGCTCACATCATTTTTCATCGTTTTCAATGTCAATTTTTTTTTTTCAGCTACAGACTGAATTCTAATATGTTCCCAATCAACTCACAATCCAAAAATGATATAAAATGCCCATGTAAGATTTAATTCAAGGTCTAATATGTCAAATACTATTGTTTCAAGCATCATCAATTTCATGGGTGGTTCAAAAAATATGAAAATATACAGTGAGTCTCACTTCGAATGGAAACACCCCTGTATCTCACTTAATCGTTGGGTAAGGATCCTGAAATTCGCTGGAGCGAGAGATATATCTACCAAAAATGACCAAGTGGGGTCATCTTCAGTAATTTACACTTCTCGCCAACAGCCACGGCACCACCCCAATTTCCGGAAAATGATATAAGGAGTGAGAATAGGTTGAAAATCACTTCGGATTCGGAATCAGGACGCCCAATTCACTAACTATTCATATTTTTCCTGAACATTTTTCAGTTCTGAAACTTTCACTTTCGTCTCACTTTTCAGGAAACACCCCCGTAATTTTAGTAATCGTTGGCTCAGGATCCTGAAATTTGCTGGAGCGAGAGATTTACCAAAAATGTAGTCTATGACGAAGTGGAGTCATCTTCAGTGATATACACTGCTCGCTAACAGCCGTGGAATTACACACATGTCCGGAAAATAATATCAAGAGACAAGATGTTGTTGAAAATCACTTCGGATTCGAAAACAGGACGTCCAATTCATTAACTTCCCATATTTTGACGCATTATTATCGGTAACGATTTTCCTCATACTACACATGTCCGGAAAATAATATCAAGAAACAAGATGTTGTTGAAAATCACTTCGGATTCGAAAACAGGACGTCCAATTCATCAACTTCCCATATTTTGACGCATTATTATCGGTAACGATTTTCCTCATACTACACATGTCCGGAAAATAATATCAAGAAACAAGATGTTGTTGAAAATCACTTCGGATTCGAAAACAGGACGTCCAATTCATCAACTTCCCATATTTTGACGCATTATTATCGGTAACGATTTTCCTCATACTATTAAAGAATCCATTCATTCATAATTATTCATTTCAATGACACCCGTTATGATTTCTGATCCATTGGATCACTCCTGATAATCTATTCGATTGTACTAGTTTTGATTGAGTTTGATGAGAACTGATAGAAGGAATATGAGTAGTTAGTGGATTAGACATTATGTTTTCTGTTCTGGAATCCGAAGAGATTTCCAACCTATCTTGTCTGCTAATATGATTTTCCGGACATGTATGTGGTTCATGGCTGCTAGCGAGCAGTGTATATCACTGATGGTGATTTCAATTGGTCATTGTCTGTATCTTTGAAATACTTCTTGCTCCTGGAAATTTAATAATCCTAACTCGATAATTACGTAAGATACGGGGGTGTTTCCATAAAAAGTGAGACAAAAATGAAATTTTCGAAATTGAAATTTTTCTTGAGAAAAATATGGATTTTCAACCTATTTTGCCTCCTAATATCATTTTCCGGATATTGGGGTGGTTCCATGGTTGTTGGCGAGCAGTGTATATCACTGAAGATGACCCCACTTGGTCATAGAGTACATTTTTGGTATATTTCTCGCTCCAACAAATTTTAGGATCGTTACCCAATCAACACGTAAGATACAGGAGTGTTTCCATTAGAAGTGAGACACACTGTATATCTCCTGGTATCGCAAAAATGTATAAAATCAAGTCGAAGCCCTGAGGGGGCAGAAGGACGATCTAGCCTTTATAGCCATCTAGTGGCTTAAGTGCAAGGTGTATAGGTAGATTCATTAATCATACCTTGCGAGTAAGTCGTGCATATAGACCCCTACGTCTATATGCTTACAGAAAAGACATCCATGTCAGATTCTGTAGACTATCGCAACACCTTTAATTCTCAAAGTGGTTTAATGTTCCACTAACAGATGGTGATGAACCTAGAATCTCAAGACTAAGAGATTCTGACATGGATGTCTTTTCTGTAAGCATATAGACGTAGGGGTCTATATGCACGACTTACTCGCAAGGTATGATTGATGGATCTACCTATACACCTTGCACTTAAGCCACTAGATTGCTATAAAGGCTAGATCGTCCTTCTGTCCCCTCAGGGCTTCGACTTGTTTGATATATGGAGGTACCCTTCGTGAATTGATTGTCAGCTGGCCAGTGCGACTGATGAGACTTATGGCAAGTCGAAACAGTCTGTCTTGCATCAGCTGACAATCGATTCACGAAATTTCCCTAGAATCTCTTAGTCTCGAGATTCTAGGTTTATCAATGCATAAAATGTCCGAAGTTCCTTTCTTGGCAAGATGAAACCATATATCGAAATTGAGGTTCAACCATTCCTGAGATATTACAGAAACAATGTTTATTTATCAACTTAACACCCTGTATCTCGTGAACTGAGCCCTTCAAGACCGGTGAAGCGTTGTCGGTGGAATGACGAAACGCCCTGTATATTATCTATGAAATTCAGCACCATATTAGAAAATTGAATAATGATTGTATCGTCATCCAAACTAAATGTAGTACAAAGAAAAATCAAAGTTCTCACATTGTTCCACCTTTTTTTCGAAGTTCCATTTTATATTTATTTGGGACCAACACTCTTTCCTTTGAACACTTTTCAGCAATCAAAAATTCTCAGCTGTATACCTACGCTCTTTTGTTTATAATTTCCGACGCTGCATATATTATTAAATCATTCTTTTTGTAATTTGAAATTTTGTATTTCTCAAAATATATTGTAGAAATATGAATAAACGATGGATTTCTACTTTGTTGTTTTTATTGAATTGAATGAGTATCCCCTCTGGTAAAAAACGCTTTTTATTCACACACCTTAAACGCATTCACAAAAGATAGATTTGTACATTTCTTTGACAATTCCTTGTGTAAAACGCGATCGATAATCACAATGTGTTTGTTTAATTAATTACTATAATAAATATTACACAAAAGACTAGTTAGGATCTGCTATACCTGTACAAATGCACAACCTAATGTTTATTTCGGAACGGATATTTCAGCAGATTTTTTGTTTTTGGAGGGGAAAGTTCCATATTTTTGGCCATAATTACAAGTGACTTGCCTCGTAGAGTAGGAAAGTATCGAAACTGTACATTTTAGGAATTCCTGAGGAAAACAAATATTATTGGAATTATAACTGTTATCAAAATGCAAAGTGCCCATATCTTATCCAACTCTAATTAAACTAACAAAAATTATTAGTTTTTCAGAAGTTTTTCAGAATCATTTGCATTTAAAAAACACTAATTGAATTTCAGAAAACAATCAATTCAGTATTCGAAAATAAACTCCACAAACGATAAGATTCCCATTAAATGTTCAAGTCGATGTTAGGCTAATTCATTGTAGAAGTATTCCCCTTGAAGAAACTACGGTGCTTTTCAAGAATTTTTTGAAAATTTCATCGTCTGTGAGATAAATTTCTGACAGCACCATTTCTATATCATTCAAATGGTATTTTCCAAAATACAAATGAAGTTTCATAAAAACTGTCCTTTTCTGAAATAATCTTCATGTTTTCTAAACTTAAACTGGTTGTAGGCCAAGTCAGTAGAAATATTCGGCAACTAGGTGATTTCCCCATTCAACATTAAATTTTCCATTAATATTTTTTGTTCATCTACAATTAATACTTGTATAAAATATCAAATAATATAAAATATATAATATATATCACTTTCGAATCTTAGGTTCAATAAAAATAAATTAAACAACTACATACATGCACCTCCAGTAGTCAAATTTCAGTAAATATTCAGAGATGAACATTATTTCTCCGGAGATGTTTTCAATGGTGTTAATCTCAATCCCTTTGCAAGCATTTGTTCTTCTAGATCTCGATCTTCATTGGAATACCTGTATAAAAATAAAATTGATAACAAATCTATCAGAATCCACTAGTTTTGAATTTTTCACTGTCAAATGGTGCACTGTAATGTAACAGAATGAGGTTATCATTTTTTCTAAATTTTATATCCATGATGTAATAGTTATTTATGTATTAAGGGAATTATGAGGGCCTTAATTACCGATGGCAAAGTTTGCGTCCCGAGGGCCTCTGGCCCGAGGGACAGCAATTGCCAGAGGTTATTGAGGCTCAGTAATTCCCGTGATACATAGATAATTTTATTTCTGACTGATTTCATTCATTAGATACCTTCCCGATTGGAAGTTAGACATGTTTTTCCGTATAGTTTCAATGTCATCAGAACGTCAGATGATGATCTTGACTACCGCGAATAGGAGATTCCTTATTGCTACGTTATTGCGTGGTTGTTGCTATGCATTTCTTATTTAATTTTAGCTAGAGGGAATTATAGCATCTATAACATCCCAAGGGAGTTATGACCCTCATTATAGATATCGTAACTATGACGATATAAGCTTATAATGTCACTGTCAGGAATAAAAGAAATAAGAGATGCAGTCACGTTTACATAACTAAGTTATGCTCCGATTCAGATCATTCATTAGTTCCATTATGAAACTTCAGTTTGTTTTTTCTGTAGACCGTAAATGGCTGGTACCAAAAATTTGCCTTTTATAATTTTTCACTAGGGTCCCTTAATGCAAACTGACGTATTTGTAATCTAACAGGGTATGCAGGATATGGACAGATCATAGCTGACATTGCTGTCACGTCACATTCATAGGCGTTTAAAGAGATCTTACAAAATTTTAATTTCATAATTGATCTTAATACGACATTATACAATTCTGTTTTGGAAGGATGGTAAAATATGCTGCGTTAAGCTGCATCAATCAGTTGGATGTCAAATTTGAATTTGTCAGCTTTCCATCAAATGCAAATGAACTTTGAACATGGAAAGTGAAGTGACCGAATGTGGAAAATTGGTAAATACATCAGCAAAATATTCAAGGTAAAACTAATACGAAATCCTATATCATTCTTTCTCATTGTGCCTATAATTATCCACTCCACAAGTTTTTGAATGCATTTTAGTAGAAACAGTTTTGATTAAAACGGAGGATTAAAAGAAGAGGCATATGCCCTACCATTTGAAAAATTATACCTACATTCAGGACATATTAAGTGTTCGTGATATACAAAAATGATTCCCAACATGAATATATACAGCACACATGACATATGAGCACATTAGTTCAAATACCTACATAACATTTTTCACCATTCCTCAACCATAAGGCTTAGTCTGAAATCAAAGTTCATTTATTGATAGGCACTGCCTAAGAATAGTCCCATTTGGTAAAATGTACTTTCAGAAAAATTTGCTCACTACCTCAAGATTATGCTGGAGTTGAAAAATTGAAAACTCGAAAATTATCATCATTTGGATATAATATGTAGAGTTGAATAAGAAATTACATGTGGAAACTACGTATGATACGCCAATGTCCTCAATATAACCTAAAAAACAACAAATGTCAGAAACCTAGTGTTTATTTCCAGAACTGAATAAAGATGGAAATATATAACTATTTCGCAAACACTTTAGAGTGAGAGGAAACGAGGATCTGTCCGTACCCTTTTAAGATGACAAATACGTCAATTTACCTCAAGGGATCCTAGTTACAACTACTATTTACTAATATATTATCAACAGTAAAAACACAGGGGCTTTTTCAATCAGATTTCCACTTCCTAACGAACAACATTTGCCAATCAGTAATTTTACGAGAAAAAATTACATGAAAAAATTGCGAGACCCTAGGTCGAGCAATTTTGTCTAATGTCAGTTTTGCGAGAGAAATAATTATTTTTGTGGTTTCTTCAGACGAAATTTTCCTAAAACGGCTCATGTTGCTAATTTACGCGTGAACAATATTCAACAATCAAACTTGACACTACAGACATTGGAATGACAACAGGCGCATACCTACTAGATGAAGAATGGTTTCGAGGAACAGGTATTTTTACAGCGATAAAAAATGTGCATCCTTTTTCATCGAATATAATAATTAGCATAAAGAAACTCATATGATTTTTTTTTAATGTTCTGGTTCCCACGAAATGGATATCCTGTAATGTTCAGAGAATATGGTGAGAATATGAGAGAATGATTTCTGATAGGAATTAGTTTTTTTTCTGAAACGGAACGAAAATGTGAAATTTTATCTCTGTTGACAGGTAATAAAATGTCACTTTTTATAAATTACTTTATTCCCACGGGAAAAAAGTGATACTTTCTACCCGGATTATATCACATATATAATTATGCACACTGCTGATGGCTTTCATATAATGTGCTATAGTTCCTAAAAATGAGCCAATATACAGGCTGATCCACGGTGGATGGCCTATTAGAAGTATCTGGAGAACGAGAAGACAGAACATTCTTAAAATTGGGATGCTTTGATCATTGAACATTCTCTATCCGTCTAAAATATTTTCATCGATACAGTGTTGCCACTTCTATCAGAAACAACTAGCAACTTCGTTATTTTAAATAGAGCACCCTGTATTTTATTGCATTTTTAGATTCTCCCTGAAAAGCTGATTTCATCAATGCATCACACTTGGGGTCTAGCAGGAATGATTACATAGATATAGGGTGTTCAAAATCGAGATTTTTCAATTTCAGGATTTTTTTGTGTAGAAACTATTCATTATTGATCAAAACGACTTACATGTCCCTATCTTAACTTTCGATTCACTATCTACTGACATCTAATTTTGACAAATAGAGGGTGATCAGAATTCTGAATCTTGAAGCACCCTGTATTTTTCCAATAAAATTCCCCAAGCATTGATGAAATCAGCTCTTCAGAAAGAATCTAAAAATGCAATAAAATACAGGGTGTTCCATTTGAAATAACAGAGTTGCTAGTTGTTTCTGATAGAAGTGGCAACACTGTATCAATGAAAATATTTTAGACGGATAAAGAATGTTCAATTATCGAAGAAACCCAATTTTCAGGATTTTCTGTCTTCGTTCTCCAGATACTTCTAATAGGCCATCCACCGTGGATCACCCTGTATAACACCGTCTCCGAGAAAGAACTGCAGGTCCATTTATCCTCCATTCGACTTGGCGGTTACGAAAATTACCAAACAGCCACTAAATTCGCAAGTTTTGAAAATCAAATCACAGAAGTAGACTGAAAGATACATGATTACTTCAAAAGAATGATAAAGATGCCTCCAACGCTGGTGTCATTCCTGTTAAAAACTTCGAATTTCACGTCGATAATTTTCTGATTAAAATGTTATATCTTTTCAATATTGATTCGTCTTTTTCCTGTCACAGAAAAAAATGAGTATTATACACGGGAAAGATATAAGATTCTAGCTCAGTTTTCCAATAGCTTGAAAACCGCGAGGTTCTAACTGAGGTCATCTTGTGGTTTTTGATTGAGGTTTTCTGGACACCCTGATTATACTGATAGAGTAAAGGTGAAACCCTCTTCTCGAATTCTTAGAATTCCTCTTTGATGACATCAAATGAGGCCAGAAAGGATAGTCACCCCATAATTATTATTGGTTATGTTATTCTTTCAATGACTTTCTGTTTATATTCAGCAAGTTTAGCAACACAAACGGAAATACCTATTTTCTGATTCATACAGATGATAGATACTAACACATTAGGGTTAGGTATGTTAACGTTACCAACAAATCAACATGAAATTTTGAGAAGGGAAACAGATCATCTGGACTGAAATACCGATTAATGATTATCAAATATTAAATTGTTGAAAAAATATGGTTCATAGTAATACGGACACTTTCAGCAGAGGTGGCAAGTCATAATTATGATTTTTTTCAAATAAAGAAGCACTTTTTTATTGGCACAAGCTCATGAAGTGAAAACTCACCTAATCCGATCTTCCTCAATTTCTGCTATAAGTGAATCCCTCTTCTCCACAATTTCTATCATTTCACTTATTATACTTTGTTCAAGTTTCAAATCGTCCTCATTTTTAGGTTTGTCTGAAAAGAAAACAATTATGAAGCCCATTTTTGTTATTTGTAAAGGACCCCGCACAAAACCATAGGGAATTGGCCCGCAGTGGGATTTGCCTGAAATTCACATATGTTATTGGTATGGAGTTTCTGATCAAATGTTTTCCTGTGACCAATCTTCTAAGACCAAAGATTTAGCTCTCAGGGCCGTATTTAGTGTAGGTGCCAAATAAACAATGACACTTAAGCCCATGATTTTTGTATCTCCCATAATAATTCAATTGAATGAGAAATGTTGCGAAATCTTGGCATTTGTCTTTTAGCACAAGTCCTCTGTAAAACATGCCTTGTCCTACAGGACCGTATTTAGTGAAACTGTATTTGCCAAAGTGCCGAATCGAATTGATTTTGTTATTACTTTCTTATTTATATAGATGAATATAGATTTCAAAAGTGGTCACCATCTTAATATTCAAGAAATATCGGTTTCAACTTTGTTAGTGAGGAATTAGATGAAGTTTCAATAGATAGTAGCGTTATATTTATATTATAGTGTTAGGTAATTGAAAGAGTAAATGCCCGATTTCAACAATCGAAACGTGTTCTTATCTCTTCCTGTACATAAAGATTAAATGTTAGGCCGACCATCCTGAATATTGAGATGGTGACCACTTTTGTTATGTGCACAAAGAAATCTACATTTACCTATCAAACAACCACTAGAATAGGACAAGAAATAAGAAAGTAATAACAAAATCAATTCGATTCGGCACTTTGGCAAATACAGTTTTACTAAATACGGTCCTGTAGGACAAGGCATGTTTTATAGAGGACTTGTGCTAGAAGACAAATGCCAAGATTTTGCAACAATTCTCATTCAATTAAATTATAATGGGAGATACAAAAATCATGGGCTTGAAAGAAAAGTGTCATTGTGTATTTGGCACCGATACTAAATACGGCCCTGAGAGCTAAATCTTTGGTCTTAGAGGATAGGTCACATGAAGACATTTGATCAGAAAGTCCATACCAATAACATAGGCGAATTTTAGGAAAATCCCACTGTGGGCCAATTCCCTATGGTTTTGTGCGGGGTCCTTTGATCAAATACTAAAATAAAACAAGGTTTGTTATACAACACAAAAATTGTTGTCATATTGATAAGGAAGGATACAGAATTTCAGTCCCACCAGTTGGGACTACAAAAACGTGAGGTCAATGTCCAAGTCAAAATTCTCAAACCTTTGTCAAAAAGCCCTATATAAACGATGTGGCCTGTTTCATAGAAAATATTCGGAAAAATTTGAACAAATGTCAATCGTCACCACTGTGGGCAAAGAACACTCGAGCCAAATTTAAAAAAAAATTAACCCATGAAATATGGATTATTTAGAAGCACCTCGGTGTCCTCCATCTAGCCTTACTGTATGTGTATTTCCCAATGAATCACCCTGTATCAAGAATAGGCCCTGACACTCACCGCGGAGACGATCACGAGTGTCATGTTATCGGCATATTGATGAAATAAACCTCTGGTGCGCTTACTCTTCATTTGTTTCGTCAGACTGGTTCTTGATATAAACAATTGAATTTCAGACGATGACGTGGGGTTCACATATCGAATGTTAGATGGCGTGATTCTTAGAACTTATGATCATGATCAGTTCTACCAACCTTGATGCGGCTGAATCGCAAAATGTATTCCCTATCTTCATTGGTCACAATTCGGTCACAATTGTCACATTGATGCCTGTAATTTTGGTACGGCACCAGACTAAATTCAGCGACATTCACCCACGCCATGTTATGTTCATCGAAGTAGGCGATAATCAAGGAATTCTAAAACAGGAAAGGATTGAAGTGCGTACACCAGAGGTTTATTTCATCAATATCGGCATATTCAAGATTTTGTTCAAATTCACAGAAATCGGAGGTTGGGATACTGTTTTTGTGAAAATCATGACATTCACTAATCCAGCGTCAGCTGTGCCTTTATACAAAAGCTGCGGTACATACTTTAATTTGATGAAGATGAAAAAACCATATTCTACTCAGTAGGGGTAATTTCGTGATTCGTCTAACTCAATAACAAATAACCAAACCAGGATTCAGTACTCAATAGGTTGTCGTTGGTTATGATAAATATTGAAACTGGAAGTCAAAATTATGAGTAAAAAAGAAATTGGTGCATTCTGGAAACGGCAGAAGAGGAATAAACAAATGAAGTTGGATGAAGTAATGAAGTTGTCAAGAGAGGCACTAAAATACTTCAATTTTTTCTCAGTTCAAATGAGATAGAATGAGAACCGACAGAACCGTATCCGGGAACTTCACGTTCTGAAGAAGGCAGAAGGGAAATTTTACAGTTTCATATTTTCAACATTCGGTGAACGGGTACTTTGAATTTTGAATTTATTAGCCCCCGGCGTAAGTGAGTATAAATCCGGCACTGTGCCCGACTGGCGTAATTTCAACTACGAAATGACTTTTTCTGCAACCGACACAAAAGTCGTCCATTTTGATACCAAAATGAGCTCTTAAATTGACGTTTCTGTTACTGACACAAAAATAGGTATGTTGCTAGGCAACATATTTAGTTCCTAGGAACTAAAAAAGATCTACTGGACGTCATCAAGAATAAACAACAGCAAATTTTGCTTTCGCTCGGCTTCGCTAAACGCTCCGCCTCGCAAATGCAAAATTCGCTTGTCAAACAAAGTATCACTTTTGATCCTAATAAAACAATCTATTATTCTATGCATTTATCTCACCGCCTACTATCCTTTCGCGCAGCTCGTGCTGCAACCTGGCGTGCCGGTCCTCCAGCTCCAGCTCCTGCGCGCGCACCGTCAACTCGCGCTCGTACCTGCGCAGCTCCGTCCTGTCCCTCATCAGGTCGAACCACTCGCGCATCAGGTCCGAGTCCTCCTTGGCCGTCCCTATTTCTGCTTCTTCTCCGCGCAAGGCCTTCTCCACGGAGACGCCTCTGCGTTCGAGCTCTTTGGTCTTCACTTCGGTCTCTTCCAGTTTGCGTTGGATCTCTTGGGCCATGCGGTGTCTGGAGGAGTTTTGACGTTATTGTAAGACTATCCAGCCTTGATATTTATTTATTTATTTATTTATTGGTACAATACATCCAGCAGGCCCAAAAGCCCATTTACAGGTGTATACAATTTGCATTATAAATAATTATACATATAGCAGAGTCAATTCTGAATGAAATGGAGAATCTCTTTCTTGAATTGTTTGAATGTTAAAAAAAATATATCTACACTAGGAACCTTATTAACACTTCTAGATATAGTAGCTATAGGAGAATGAAAATGATGCACTGTATTGGAAACAGGAATATGAAATGTGCTACAGAACCTAGATGAAATACGCGGTACACTGAATAGCATATGAGACAATAGGGGTGAACAATCTATTTGTCCATGTATGATTTTATATGCAAAACACATATCTCGGCTTTCCCTGAATTTCTTTAAAGATATCATATGAAACTCGTCCAACAATGAATCATAGCTATAACCTCTCTCGGGGTAAGCGCCGTGTTTTTTGAAAAATGCATATTTCAAAAACTTTTTTTGAACATTTTCTAAGCTAGATATATATTTCATATGGGACGGATTCCAAATGACACTGCAGTACTCCATTTTGCTTCTGATCAGTGTGAAATAAATGGTTTTCAAGGCATCAAAGGTCCTAAATTCCTTGCAGTTGCGTATCAAAAAGCCCAAACTTTTCATTGAAGTTGATATCACATTCTGAATATGATATTGTCACTAATAGGGTTATTTTCTTGAATTTCATTTAAATTCATAAAGTCATTGAACGGCCACGTCTTTGTTTATCAATTCCAAAATTTTCGAATCATGAACGAACTTTTTTTCATAGTAGAACATAAACACAGGCATGGCATTGACTTCAACGAACCAGGAATATCCACCTGACTTCCTCACTGTCACGTTCCCGAAATATACAGTGTCATTCATAAAGTCGGCATCATATGGGAAAAACTTTTATTAATGACTTATTTTGGAATTCGAGTTGGACGTTAAGTTTTGCTTCCAAAAAGATGAAAAATGGCCTACTCAATCGGGGTCACGTGACTTTCGCTACATGTCAAAAGTGACATTTTTTCAAATTAATCGCTGAAAGTAGGCTTATACGTTCGAATATCGAAAAAGTTTAATTGAAAAAGTTGTTTCTAATTCAATTTTACACATGCTTCTCGAATTTGATCTTTCTATTGCAACTTTTTGATTTTGATTTTTTTTTAATTTTTCGAAATTTCTGTAATATTTGAAGAATTGTTAATCCCACGAAACTACTTCATACCAGTAGCTTTTTCATGCTACTTACTTCCAATTACTCATTATCACTGATTATGGACAGAAATATGATTTTCTTCAGAAAATGATAATACCCGCTTCCAAATTCTGTTATGTTTGATGCAAAGTTGATACATCGTCAAGCGAAATTCATTTAAACTGATCTTTTCAGTACTGGAAAAATAAATTTAAATGAATTTCGTGTCTAAATGCTTGACTCAAACATAACAGAATTTCGATGTTATGTTTGCATCAAATATAACAAAATTTTGAAGCGGAGATTATCATTTTCTGAAGAAAATCATATTTTTGTCGATAATTAGTGATAATTAGTAATTGAAAGTTAGTAGCATGATAAAACTACTGATATGGAGTAGTTTTATCGAATTTACACTTTTTTTAATATTACAGAAGTTTCGAAAATTTTTAAAAAATATCGAAATCTAAAAAATGTAATAGAAAGTTAAAATCCGAGTCACATATGTAAAATTGTAATAGAAACAACTTTTTCAAGTAAACTTTTTCGATATTCGAACAAATAAGCCTACTTTCAGTGATTAATTTGAAAAAATGTCACTTTTGACATGTAGCAAAGTCACGTGACCCCGATTGAGTAGGCCATTTCTCATCTTTTTTGAAGCAAAACTCAACGTCCAACTCAAATTCCAAAATAAGTCATTAATAAATGTTTTTCTCATATGATGCCGACTTTATGAATGACACTGTAGACTGAACATATAAAAGGCGCGAGGAAGCCAGCACAGCTATTTTTATTATTTTCTATTTATTTCAGTTATTGCATTCCATTATCTTCTTCATTGAAACATTTTATCAAAATAATATATAAAGTATAATTAATTTTCTAGTAGGAATGACATTAATGATCAGACAGTAGTTCCTGGTATAAGATCATTCATGAAGTATTATCGACTGTTGTATAATTGAAATTACAAATAGTGAACAAAACTCACATATCATTAGGATATCTCAAAATAACAGTCATATTATAGTGAACCAGAAGGAAAAAAAAAAACAGTGATAATTTGATTAGATCATGCTTTGATTCGATCATTAACCACTGTGCCAGAACCGTCGGAGTTCGGGACAGAACAGAAGATGCCCTTTCTCTAAGGCCCCATAAATATTAGCTTCATGATGTATACTCATAGGGTAAGTTAAGTTTCTTATATTCGTTATATATTCAAAGAATAAACGTGTATACAGGGTGAGTCATGAGGAACTGTACATGCTCCTACTACGAATAGAGGCAGCTGAGGGGAATACCAAATGACCATCAGAAAGTGTCTCCGCCTCTTCTAAAATGATCTATAGGGTAATTTATGGGATATGGCCAAAACTTCTGTCAATCATAACTTTCCAACAGTTCTTTCGATTCCTTTCATTTTTTCTTGGATTATCATGCTGTCACTCAGCAATCAACTGACATATTCAGAATCGTGAAAATCCAGGACCGGTCTTGAGAAATTCTGCCAATTTGGTCCATATAAAAAATTTCACCCTGTATGAGGTTTTAGTAAACTGTGATATGGAATTTCTGAAGTTGATGAACAGGCAACTAAAATGAAGTATTTCAAATTTTCCTCACAATTTCATTGAATTTCTTAAAAAATGATTAATTTTAACTACACACGAAACTTGGGCAACAAATGTATTAATTTCAAAATTAATACTTCGCAATGCATGAATTTCACGAATAAAAGTAAGGGTAAAATTATTCCTGATTCTTGTTTGTCAACTCCGAACATTTCATGTCACAGTTTATTAAAATCATATACAGGGTGCAATTTTTGGTGATTATTACCATGTACCAAAAATTTACTGAATCCAACCCTGGATATAGATGAATGTTGATTTTCAGTGAACTGAAGAATAGGAAATGATGTTATTCTTGCTTCTATTCGTGAAATTCTAGCGGTGCGAAGTATTCATTTTCAAATTAATACATTTGTTGCGAAAGTTTCACGTGTAGTGAAAATTGATCGTACTCTAAGAAATTCTGTGAAACTCTGAGGAAAATTTGAAATACTCAATTTTGGTTTCCAGTTCATCAACTTTGACAATTCCATATCACAGGTTACTAAAACCATATACAGGGTGTAATTTTTGGTGATTATTACTCTCTACTAAAAAATTACTGAATCCAACCCTGGAAATAGAAGAATGTTGATTATTGTTGAGCTGAAGAATTGAGAATGATATTATCCCTACTTTCATTCGTGAAATTCATGCGTTGCGAAGTATTAATTTTCAAATTAATACATTTATTGCCCAAGTTTCGTGTGTAGTTTAAATTAATCATTTTTTAAGAAATTCAATGAAATTGTGAGGAAAATTTGAAATACTTCATTTTAGTTGCCTGTTCATCAACTTCAGAAATTCCATATCACAGTTTACTAAAACCTCATACAGGGTGAAATTTTTTATATGGACCAAATTGGCAGAATTTCTCAAGACCGGTCCTGGATTTTCACGATTCTGAATATGTCAGTTGATTGCTGAGTGACAGCATGATAATCCATGAAAGAATGAAAGAAATCGAAAGAACTGTTGGAAAGTTATGATTGAAAGAAGTTTTTGCCATATCTCATTAATCACCCTATAGATTATTTTAGAAGAGGCGGAGACACTTTCTGATGGTCATTTGGTATTCTCCTCAGATGCCTCTATTCGTAGTAGGAGCATGTACAGTTCCTCATGACTCACCCAGTATATGTGTCGTTTGAAAACCTTTTTGAGTATTATTTATTATTATCACTTTTAGAGTTCATTCTCTAATGGATCTAGGACACAACTTAGGCAACCGCCGCATACAGTTTGTGACTGGTGTATCCCTGAGACTTTACGGACCTACTGCATTTTCGTTTCGTTTCTCTTATTAGTTACCTTTTGTATTGAGTTTGCCGACTAGCTCGTCTCGATTTACTTGATCTTTTCTCGTTGTGGCTTATTGACGACCTCTCCAGCACATCATTTTGATCGAGTGTATCACATGAACTATGATCAAGCTTTTTAAAGTCTTGTTCACCTTCGGAACTTTCATCTACAACAAATGAATTCTGACATAAATGGATGGCACATTAAAATGTATTCACTGCTGAAGATGAGAATCAGTTGATGATGCCAACCTACCTGTTTTCTTTACTTCATAATTTGATGGTAAAGGTGGTACAGGAGGGGGTGTGATTGTTCGATAAATGAAACTCTCTGATAAACTCTTTTTTCTCATGGGTTCTGTTACTGCTGAATCCTAGAAGGAAAAAAATTTATTGCTTATGTTACAGGATGTTGCGAGATTCGAACGACAATGCCTCAATGGTGAAAGCCTTTGGGATTTGGTAAAGGATTAGACAGGCACATGAGGTCCTCAAGGGCAGATACAGTATTTTCATGAATAACTCTGAAACGGCTCTCACCTGCCAAGCATTGTTGGTTGAATTTCACAACAACCTGTATATCTACAGATGACATAAAAACAACTCATTACCACATCACAGACTAGTTACAAAAACTCAAATGTCGAAGGTGTTAAAAACAAAATACAGAACAAATAACATACTTTGGCATCTTTCTAACGAAAAATCTAATTTGTAAATACAGATTTCCCCAAGATAAGACCACGTGAACACAAACATCACATGCTCAAAAAAATTTAAAACATGCAAAAAAAACAACACAACAAAGAATTTTGAGAAGAATTTCTTACTTCTTTTCTGTCCAGATTCGAGCATGACTGTAAAGTACCATTTCATTAATATACAAGTATGACAGCTGATATCGGGACACCGCCTTAAATGATTCAGGGCTCTCGCTTCGTTCATATGGACTGCTAGTAGTAATAGGCAAGGACACAAATGCCTCAATTCAATTTAAATCCGCATATAATTGAAATAAAGTATAGTAACAGCATGAATGCATACATTTTTTGATAAAATTTGCTCAACTGTTAAATGATGAGATGGGCAGTAACGATCTTGGCCTCTCTGAGAGATGCAGATATATTGCCCTCTTTGTTTAATGATTACGTAAATTCCATAGCTTGTTAATATAGAGTTTTGACCGGACCGATAATGAACTATTGGCATTCAATTACTCCACTGTGTCTTTAAGAACCTAAATTAATTTTTGCAACACTCCTCACGATTTTATTATGTAAATAATAAGTCTATGCTTTGATCAAAATCGTTGAATTTCAGAGCTCATTTCAAACGTAACGTCATGGCCGCCATTTGGCGATACGTCGAATAAATGGTGACGTCATATAATCTTCCATTTCCACTCATGAAGCAAGGTCGTCAAGTCACCATTTATAATCAATTTATAAAAAAGAAAAAGAGTCCTGTCGTTGAATAAAATATAATAGGAGGAACTCATGACATTATAGTTCATTCATGACTTTTTCGAGCAACCAGCATGTCCTGATATTTCTAATTCTCCATAACAAAATATCGTGTGAATGTTTGAGACTTGGCAACATTGTGCAGAATGCTGAGCTGTCAAAACAGTCAAAACCACGCCCACAAGTCGTGCGCGGGGTTGTCACGTACACCGATTCAAATGTCCTTTAAAAAAGTGAATTAATATAATAATTATGTACAGGGTGATTGACTATGGATTTCTCGACTTCAACAGCTGATATATCGAAAACGAAAAAAGATATTTGAAATTTGGAAAAAGGTATTCGAATGAGATGACATTTCCTTCTAGAAAATGTGTTCTCTGCTTGATTTTATCATTTCATATACAGGGTTCGTGAAAAAAAAATTTTTTTTAAATGGAACCCCCTGTATATTATCGCATATTTCGAAAGAGCTATCTTCCCTGATTTTGAAAATATATACTTTTTTTATATTCTATTGAGGGCTTGACGATATATCAGCAAAATTAAATATCAATATTTGGTCCAAGTTAGCTATGGTTGAACTGAATGAGATGATGTATAAGTGAATTGACATTTGGCCAACATTCCAGTGACATAAGTGCGCAAAATTTCGACAATTTTCTTACGATGCCATATCCACTGGAACAAAGAAGAGATATTTTGGAGTGCTATTTTTCAGTTAATAAAAATCTTGCTGAAACACTTATACTTACTTAAATTTAATCTTTCAGATATGACAAGACAAAATTCAATCCGCTTCTCATTAACATCATAATTGAGTTGGCATGGTCTAATTTTGAAATCCCTATATTTATATCTCCTTAAGGTATGTTGAACAAAATAATAGCTGAAACCAAACTCTCTCAATGCATTTCTTATTGACCGTGAAGGATCCTCAACAAAATACTGGATTACAAGAAGTTCCTCGTCTTCGTTGTCTTGCCTTCTCACTATTCTCTTGATATTCGACAAACTGGAAGTTCTGTCAAATTTAGCAGCCAAATACTTTAAATAATTCTTACTTGGTAATCTCCTGCCTGGATAACTCCTCATGAACTTATGAAGTGTTTCAGCAAGATTTTTATTAACTGAAAAATAGCACTCCAAAATATCTCTTCTTTGTTCCAGTGGATATGGCATGGTGAAAAAATTGTCGAAATTTTGCGCACTTATGTCACTGAAATGTTGACCAAATGCCAATTCACTTATTCATCATCTCATTCTATTTCAACCATAGCTAACTTGGACCAAATATTAATATTTAATTTTGCTGATATTTCGTCAAGCACCCTGTACACAAATTTATTATAAGCAATAAGCCACAAATCATAGGGGAATATTTTGATACAATTGCATTTTTATTGCTAATTAGGAATATAAATATTACTCAATTGAGAATTCATGAATTATTGAATAGCTAATATTTTTGAAGTTCCCAATCGTATTTCAATTCGCGAAAATCACGAACCAATAGATGGCTCTATTAAACGTCAAATCAACGTCAAATTTCCAACTGAGTATTAACAACAAAAACATTGCCGTATGCACTCATTACAAATTGGTTTTTTCCACATCATTTTGCGAAATAGTGGATAATAAGTTGACTTCTTGAAATATGTAAAAGGTTTCCAGTATGGAAAAAATTACTTTTTGTGAGAGAAATTGCCGTTTTGATGTGGACAATGGTGGTATTCATCATTGATATCACACTACAATCCCACAGTTTTCAAACATATGGAATGATCGGAATGGTCCACTCAACACTTGCATGGACTGGAATGGAACCATACAAGCAATCAGCTATTACAACAATATGATATAGGTATGAAGAAATAATTGAATTCATCAGGAAATATCACTGGCTTTTATGAAGGAGATGGAATTCTAGTGAAGGGGTTGGAAAAGAAGATATGGTTGGAGAGGCTGCTCAGAATGAACAATTTCATCGATTTACATAAACAAGGATCTCCAGCAATTGAGGACTTGAAGTTATTCTCAAGATCGAATCATTGCAACCAACATTTATACAATGATTCTAAATCAAATGTATATTATATTATTATAAGGTAGGTACTGGTTTCTTCATTGTAAACAATAAAAGTTCATGCAATAATTCGAGTTTTTTCATCAGGGGGAAATGAGGTTCTGGAATATGCACTTCAACAAATGAATTATTTTCAAATAAAACACATATTTATTTTGTTGTTCATACTCGCAAGACTTGTACAGTTAGCCACCAGAGGCCGCACACTTCGTGATTTTCGCGAATACATGGCAACTGTGCAATGGTCTGCCCCTACTTACGAAATCGTGACGTCAGTTTTTACTGACGGTAAATTTCTAGCCGTTTGAGAATTACCGTGGCATAATTGATGATTTCAGCACCTTGAAATCGACCGAAAACTTCTCAAAAAATGTGAAATTGAAAGGTATTTGAGTGATGATTTTATTTGATAAAATAAAATAGTCCACTATCCTATTGAGCGGAGCGAGATCATGAATGGTCTAAGGACATCCCCCCAAAATTTGTATCTAGCCAGATTTTGACAAAAAAAAGTCGATCAATGACCGTACAAAGTGGTTCAGCAAAAGCCAAATTCTGAAGGAACAAGATGAACCATTGAGAGCAATGAACCCAGAGATTTTATTCAGTAGGGGGCGGTATCTATGAACGAAAAGGTGAACTACTTTTTTGTTGAGTAGCGAGGGGTAGAAATCGGTAATGCAGAATATATTCGAAGTTAGTTTTTAGATGTTTCAATGCAAGAAGGAATTTCGCATCAGGCCGGTTCAAAGTATTTTTATTTAATAGCCTTCCGAATATCAAAGTAACTGATTATCCTGCTCCAGAAAGAAGAATATTCCTAGATAGTTCAGGAACTTGCAGATAGATGGACTCGAGCAGGTTCCGAGAGTATAGATAAATCGAACATATTTTGCTGAGTTTCACTAGCGCCGCCTACGAACCAGCCAAGAACTAAGGCCAAATTTGGTTTCAACAGAAGCTCCAAAACCGTGGAATGAGAATAATACTAAAAACAAATCGCTTCACCCCCAGAAGATCAATGTTAATGACTCTTAGTTGGTTTTCAGTGGAAAACAGACTGTACTATTTCAGTATGATTCTCATTTACAAAATAGTAAATCATTTAGCACCAGAATACTTTCAGAAGTACCTAACATTCAATGAAAATATTCATAATTATAACACGCGTGGCAAAAATGACATCTACGTTTCTATCACTTATTCCTATCGTTGTTTCCATGAATTCACTATTTTACAAAGGATTTTTGGAGTTTAATAAATTGTCAGAGTCTGTGAAGGGATCTGCTTCACTAATCCAGTTCAAAGCTAATTTGAAGGAATTCGTCCTAAATAAGTAGCTAAGTAAGGTCTTTATTGTGTATTCCATATGTCTATTTAGTATATCTATTTTATGTTTATATTGCCGTTTATTGTTATTCTACTGTTTTTAATCTTATTATTCTACTTTCATCGTAGGTATTTCATAATCGTCATTTTAATATTTCTTTTTTGCAATTGTTCAACTCAGTTTTCATCTCTGTATATGTGTATACAGTATGATGCAAATGTATGGAATAAATTCATTATTTCAGAAATGGGCGACATTTGAAAAAATTCCAAAAACACGTGAGTTTTAATTTCTGAAGCCTCATCTCATGATATTCATATGAGAGATGTTACGTCACCGGTGTTGGAGTAAAGACGTAATGGACGATTTTTTCAAATACAAATAGGGGTCATGTGACACCTTGATTGAAAGGTCTACCGATCGTCTATTCAACAGTCAAAATGTTGCATAAGAAGATTGAAATTAAAATGGATTATCATGTGATTAATTGAATCTTGCAGAGGTCTGCTACTGAGAATTGAACATCGAAGGGTCGTCTAGTTAAAAAAATACGTCGAACAAAAAGTTCTAAACTCTAGTCTTTGCTTTTTTTTCGAAAGTCGTCTTGTTTTGAAATGAATTTATTCCATACATTTGCATCATACTGTATATATATATATATATTGTAATATGCCTTCTTATTTATGTATGTATATTAGAGTTTTTAATTAAATAAAGATCTATCTATCTATTTTAGATGGAGGTAGTTCATCTTGTTAGTGTAAATAATCAATGATAATATGAAGAATAAAAAAATCAGTCATCAAATCCAAATTTTAGGGGGATTGTTGGCCTTTAAGTTAAGTTTCATAAGTATTATTCAAACCTTGGAAATTTCCTTCATCTTGGGAGAGAGCTTCGAGAAGAGCCCTTTCGATCCACCCGCATTCGGGCTTTTCTTCGAAAAAATCGTGGAAAATATCTTGGACAAACTCTTCCTTCTCTCCGGATCCTTGTTCTTCTTCCTGCTTCTCTCGGTCACATCCGGTATATTCGGGTCGGACTTGAATATCTTCATCGTTTCATTTTCATAATTGATCAGTTGAGCTGGCGAAAACTTTTGCGGGAAATCCGGTATCGACTTAGTGCGGCTAGAAAACGGGTTGTTGAAAGCAGGGGTTGCTAGTTCGTAATTGGCGCTGTGTCGCTTCTTAACTGGGGTCGTTTCTTTCTTAGAGTACAACCAGGAACCTTTTTTGTCTGCCTTGTTGGCAGGTGTTTCCAAGCTCTCAGGTGGTTCGACGTTTTCTTGCTCCGAACTCAACCGCACGGCATTCTTTAATTTTTCAAGTTTCCTGAAAGCTTCATCGCTCTGTCTGTTCTGTCTAGGCGGGGGTTTTGGAGTCTCACCATCTACTTTCCCGAATTCATCATCAAAAATATTTTTGCTATCCCTGGTAGCGTGGATCTTGAGCTTAGTAGGGGACTGCGAGTTTGGAGTTATATTAACACTCTTCGAATTCTTCAGTGGATAGTTTGTTGACAATAGAACATCAGGTGTACTTGAGGGTCTGGAAACATTCGACTTGGGCATCAAATCTGCAGTTGCAGACCTTGCCAGATCACGTGGGGAAGTCTGGCCCAAGACAGTGCCCTTCTTTTTCTTTCTCTCCAAAGATTTGTTCTCTGCCTTCATCTTGTTCATTACCATTTCCTGTATGAGCCGTTGGTTAGTATCCCTTTCTCTTTTCAAAGTTTCTTTGTTGTACAGAATATCCGGTTTACGTATTGTCGGAGTTAAAGTGAGTGCGATTCCTTTTTGTGGGGGAGTTTGTTCCAGTTCCCCTTGAATCAAGTCTGGTTTACTCTTTCTCCTCGACTTCCTGACGTCGATGGAGTCCTTAACATTACTGAATTCGACTTTGGATTGCAACCTATGGCAGTGTTCTTGGAATTCGATGTTGCTATCTACGTTCTGTGTCTTTTCTAGAGGCTTCTGAGAAATATTCTCGTTTGGTGATGATGCTATTTCGCTTGGTTTGTTCCTAGTGATGTTTTGTTTATCCACACTTATTTCTGTGACGTTTTTGACTGTTGAGTCGCTGCAAGTGTTCTCTTCCGTGGTCGTGCCAGCTTCTATAATCAATAAGATGTCTTCTTCACCTGGAGCATTGGGCTTCTCAGGTTTTTCTTGTTCGATATTGCCTGAAGCGTCGGTAATTTGTTCAATTCGTTCTCCTACGTAAATATTCGTAGCTTCCAGAACTTCGTTGATTGTAGGGTTCAAGCTGTCCTCTGCGAATTCATTGTCATTTTTCAACAAAACGTAGCCGCGTTGACTGTCATTGATGCCGTCTTCGCTGCTGGTTTCACTTCCGGTATCCATGAACTCGAAATCCACATTGCCGCTCAAGATGCTGTTCATCGCTTCGGTGATTATCGTTTTATCTCCAAGAGGATTTTCAGTTGCAATGTTGGGGTCGTCAAACTCCGCCATTTTGGCGAGCTTTCCCTTCGTTTTCTGGAAATCTTCGTTGACCTCGAAATTTCCGTCCTCGAAATCATCAGAAACCACTTCGTCTCTAGCCCAATCGGAAAGTTCGGTTTCTGTCAGAGCCGTTGTGACTTGTTCCGATTCCGGCGAGCTCAAGCCGCTGTTGAGAGATTTACTTTCTGGCTTTGAAGATTCCGAATTTTTCTCCAGCATCTTGTACTTATTATGTAGCGAGTTGTGGATCTCGGGCAGCAAATTTTCCAAATTCGGCAACGTTTTCGGTTGGTTGAGAGATTTCTTCTCGCTAGCTATGGACTTCGGGGGATCAGACAGCGAAGCCTGAGCTTTAGGCTCAACGCTGAACGAATCAGGTGCGAGTTCCACTTCAACTCTAGGAATATCGTGTATTTGTTTGGGGTTCTCGTTTTCTGAATCGGAAGCCAAGCTGTCCGAAGACAGAGACTGGTCTTTCTTGCCCCAGTCGATTTGAGGGACTATTATAGAGGTTTCATGTAGAGGGCTACGTGGGCGACCTTCAGACTCATTCGTGAACTCAGGGACGGTACTGGGTTTGTTAGGGTCGGATTCGTTCGTTATTTCCTTGCTTATTATCACAGAGGGTTGGGAGGTTAACACCGGAGAGTTTCTATCGTTCAGCAAGTTGCAGAAGGTTTGCATGCTCGCGCTGATCTCCGTTGAGGGTTTCAACATCTTTTGGCAGTCGGAGATGTTGGTGTGGAAGGATTTGAACTTGGTGTCCAGGGTGGAAGCGCTTCCGGACTTTTGAATGCTTCCTGAAGTATCCTCGCCTAGTAAGTACTTTTTCTTGAGCTCTAGTGACACCTTAGTAGCTATGCCTCCAGTGCTTTGAGTGCGGTTCAAAACGTAGCCTTGCAAACCAGGTGCGGGTAGTTTTTTGGGTAGTGCTGGGGTGACTAGCGGTTTCAGCTTCAGTTCTATGTGCGGCTTTCTAGGTTTGCCCTTCGCGGGTTTCTGTAGATAGCCGGTGGTCACCTGGATTTTCTTTGGTGCGTTCCTGCCGCTGCCTCTCGTTTTCGTTACGTTGAAATCGTTGAGGAAAATTGAAGGGACCTCTCTGGTCGGTGTGGGATCGTCTTGCGCGAATTCTGAGTCTGTGGATATTTCTGTCGCCGAGTTTTGGACTTCGCTGGACGTATCGGAACTAGTATCATCAGAAACGATCTGGAATGACAAACAGAATTCGTTAGGGAATGAGCGACGAGGAGGTGGCTTCAGAAGATCAATAAAAAGCGTGTTAATGTTTTTAGAAGGTGAACGTGAGTAAAACTGAAAAAATAAAAACGTTTATGAGTGATGAGTGGGTCAGGTTTGAATCACTCTGCTGGAATTTCAGGTGAATTACCTAAAAAGATGGTCTTGTCTGACATACAGTAGGTCACCACAAGATCATTAACTAGCCTATGAATTTCTTAAGGAATGATTTATTAATTTGAAACTTCAGGAAGTTGGATAGCACCATCAACTACTAAAAAAATAAAAACTATATATTTTTTGGAAATGAAACAAATGATAGTATGAGAAAGCTAGAGTGATTGTTGGAACTCTTTTCCGATTTCCTCAGCAGGCCTCAAAAAATGCTTGGATGATTATTATACTTGGGACATATTTAGGGTGTTCTATTCAAAATATCAAAGTTGGTTGAGTTTGTAAAGTTGAGTAAAATCAGATTGATTGAGTGATTCATACCGAATTTTCAATAGCAGTATGTTCAAATTATATATCATTATCATCAGCATATTGTTTTATTAAATCTCAAACAAGCAACATCGAATGCTCATGAGCCATAATAATCAATTAATGAAATCTTTAATTTATGCACAAGCGCTACATTTTCATGAACCAATGATAGCCAATTAGAAGCAAAATTAGGTGGCTATCATCAGAACATGTGGAAATGTTTTAGCGAAATTTATTTCCTCAGCATAGTTCAATATGAAAGTAACGGTTTTGATGAAATTGAAGAAAAAATGTGTAACAGTTGAAGAGAGAAGATGAAGAAGAAATATGGGTGATCGTTGAATACAAGGGGTGATTTGCCTTCAACTTCTCTGCATAACGTAAGTTTCCATTATTTGACAGATGACACTAAAATTTTATTTTTGAATGGAAAACTATGTGTATTTCTAGTTTTTCTCGAAATGACAGTCTGGATGTGATGAATAATTTGATTTGATAAGTTTTCTCAAGTTTCAAGACACATCTATTTCAAACCTAATATCTCAAACTAATCATTCAACGAAATGAAAAGAATGAAATTTCAACATTGAATTGAATATAACATGATCGTTTTACACAGGGTGACATAATATTTCATCAGGGTTTATTAGATGAAAATAGTTGCAATAAGAATGTCATTTTGTGGCAAATATTTTCTCTCATTTTAAAATTGAGTTGAGATCTAGATGAAATAGTTTTCCATAACTACCAAGATCATAACATCTTCCATACATGAATTTTCATGGAATGTAGTTTCAGTTGAGGAAGCTGATATAAGCAGATCAAATTGGGAAAGTCTCCTATATTCAGATTTTTCCTGTTTTTCTTTTTCAGCCCTTCTCTCTTCTACAAGTCATAATATGTTACAACACTCACGTTAGCAATGGATTAGAGTGCAATACATCAAATAATCAGACATCTCACTCCTATAATTACCTTCCTTTTTACCATTGCTTTAACGTGATTGTTAACCAGGGTGGTGATTCGTCATCGAAACTACAAAATACTCGGACTGGGATATCAATTGATGAATGCCTTTCAATTAGTACACAACAAAAATGAAATAAAAGCTAAATAAAATATGAAAAATTATCAACACTTGTATAAACTCTCAACACTTAACAACATTAAAATAAATGAAACCAACTTCAATCCGTACAAACAGCAGAATATTTCTACCCGTATAAAAATAACTACACATCTATCAATTTTTCTTATTATTGAATGCAACATTCTTTTTCATCATCTTTTTTACTATTACTCTCGTTATTACTCAACTTGACAGTTTGAGGTTTCGGCAGATGATAAGCTGATACTGTTTCCTTCTTTATTTGATCTCTCGTTCTCAATTGCCCATCATGTTTCCCATCATTCAGTGGAGTTGCACTGCTAGAACGTTTCCTCCTTTCGGGTACACAAGGCGGAGGACCCAGTTCATCGTCCTGTACAGTAAGTAATTTTTCCGAATTATTTCTCCGGAAGGATTTTTGCCTTAGAGGTCTCTCTGGAGGAGCTTCACCTTTTTTTATCCCAACAGAATCGACTGATTTCGGCTCAATCACCTTATTCAACAGATCCTCAACACTTGATTTTGTTGAATCGGAATCAGAGCTTTCAGTAGAAGAGTTTTCGACGGCTTTTAAAAAATTGAGCGGAGCTCCGTGTTCCTTCGAAGTACTTTCATCCGCAAAGCTATCATCATCTGTGCACAAATTATTATTTCCTAGAGAATCAATATCTGGGAGATCTTCAGTTTGCTCTGCATGTAGATGATTGACAGCTTCAGTTCGAGAAACAGCTGGCATTTCTTGCACTGAAATGTCTTCAGTCACAGAGGTGTTAGTGGATTCCACTGCTTTGGAAAACCGATGTGGTACCATTCCTTCACCGTCTGAAGAGGTACTGTCAGTCTCTGATTCATCCGTTTGTAATTGTCCGTTGTCAATATTATTGCTACCATTATCGTTCACATCACTTTCTTCATTGCTATCTGATTCATCTGTAATGTATTCAATGTCTTGATCACCCTTATCGGTATCATTATTTATATTAGGTTCACCATCTGGGTCGGAAGAGTTGCTATCATCAGTTGCTGAGTCATCTCCAATGTCTTTAATCTCTTCTTTGTCCACAACGTTAAGAGTTGGATTTTGTTCGCCATTTTCATTTTGTTCAGGAGTTTCGGTATCTAATACCACTTTTCCTTCGCCTGAATTAGATATCGGAGTTTCTTCTAGTGGTATATTTGTTGTGCTGGAAACTGTAACAAGGGCGCACCAATCATTCCTTGGTAAATCACCTTCATCTTTCTTTGTTTCATCCATATGTTCATATTTGTCGCCTATATTACCTAGAAGCTCATGAACTGATTTTTCCAATTCATCCAAAGAATAATTGGATACAAGTCTCTTCCCCCTTTTAGTTGGCTCAAGAATGTTTTCGATTGGTGGTTTTTTAGTAGCACTCGAATCCACTTCAAACTTTTGTATGGTATTCTTGATGGACGCTGGTTTGGGTTTAAAACACATACTGAGAATATCTTCATTTTTCGCATCTTTCTCACTCCTTGTACTGAAAGATCTGAAACTAGCTAGAGAACTTCGTTTCGGGTTCAACTTCACAGGTGGTCTATCTTTAATTGCTTCCTCTTCAGGCGCAGTTTCGAACTTCTTGAGCATCTTTCTGATATCGACTTTGCTCACAGAATCGAGATCGACAGATTTCCTAACAGGGTCCCGTTTTTTGAAGGTTATTTCAGTCTTGGACCTCTTCAAATTGAAAGGTTTATTGGCAGGTGAACATTGGTCGTCGCTATCGCTGCTGGGCAAGGTTTTCCCAGACAGGTGCGACTCGAAAAACGACAAATTATTCTTGGGTATTTTGCTGACGATGCTATCCGATATCTGCGGCGTTTTCAAGAACCTCTCCAAGTTTTTGTACTTTACGTCACTGAAGGATCTACAAACTTTGCGGTCCTGTGTATCGTGTTCCAGACCATCCATCCACATAAGTAGATCCTCGATTTTCTCGTGGGACATTTCGTCTTTGACTTCGGTTTCTTTGTGAATCGACTCGTTTTTCAAGTCTTCGAGGAGGTTTTCGATGCTGCTGGACATTTTTTCTTCTTCCGGTTCCGGAGAGCTTTCTGGCGCCATTCTATACTTTTTAGGGTCTATAGGCTTATGCAGCTCATCTTCGTTCGCTATCAAATCTTCAATGTAATTTTCGATGTCGTTCAGATCAGAGTCTTCAGGTTCGAAGTTGAAACTTTTGATTTCCATTTTTTCGTCCATGGTTTCTGGTAAACTGTGCTGTTTGACTAGCGGAGACTTGGGGGCGCTAGAGACAGTTTCGGATCTCTGCAAAGGTTTTCTAGGGATGTTTTTCTTATCGCTCGTACCGAAGTACTTGGTGTTATTCAGTACGTTGGTGTTGAGAGCAACTTTTGGTTTGCCGATTTCGACAGGCAGGGATATTTTACTGGGCGTTCTCTTGATGACCAGCAAAGGTTCTGGCTCGACAGATTTGAATTTCGAGACGAATTCAGCGCCGATTGTCTTCGCATCAACTCTTTTCGGTAGGTTGGCAGAAGTTGCACTTTTACATAAAAAAGTAGGCTTGAATACGGGCGCGTTTTCTTCAGAGTCGGATTTGGTTTTTTCTCCAGTTTTGGCAATCGTTAGTTTTCCCACCACCACATTATCCCTGTCGGAAATCTTATTCATATTTAGGTCTAATTCGCCGGACTCGGCACTATTGAATTCCGCCGAATCGGCGGAAAGGTTATCACAGGATATGTCGCTAATTCGGAGGAGGTTATGATCGGGTATTATATCTGGAAAGTCAGAGTTGTATTTGAAAGATGATTTCACCTCTGTGTCCGTGCCAGTGTCCGGGTGAACGACAGGCGGTTTCACGCACACTTCCTTTTTTCTCAATTCGCGAGCTCGGATATCGTCTTCGCCCTCAGTGGCAGTTTCGGAATCATCATCTAAAAAACATTGAATAATATTACTATGACGATGTGAACAGAAGAAACAAACATGTTGATGAAAAATGAGTATTGGAGTAATGAAAGAATGTCAAGTAGTAGGACAATCGGGTCGATTCTGTTTAACATTGCTAAATTAACAATATTGTTGTGATCATAAGAAATAGCGATATTACTATGCAATTAAATATCATGTTTGAACAGTAACTGGGTTTGTTAAGGGTTCGGTGTCGTTATTGCCAGTATTCAATGAAGAAGTAGAGTTTACGTTCATCTAACCTCCCATATTAGTCATTTTTAAATAGGAAAACAATCAGAAGTCAGATGCAATTCATCTTAAATTTCTTTGGAAAAGAACCCGAGTCTTATGACCTAAAAAACTCACGTTGCTGGCTTATTCGAGTGAAATAGCTTAATAAACATTCCATCAGGCAACTCAAATTGATTGCTGGTGTCTCTGATATTCCAAAATTGTAGTGTCATAATTCCTCTACAAATATGGAACTTCAAAGAGAGGTTTTCAAGTAGTTAGTTATACGAGTGAACTTCCTTCATGTTTATAATCACCTATTTTTTAAATTTTCGAACACTGAAAAAATTGTCGTGCAAAAACAAAGGATCCATTTTCAACCTTGTTATGAGATAGCAGAAAATCTTGCTGTGATAGCAACATCATATCTACAAACATATTGCTATTTGCAAACAGAACCGACCCTAGTGATGAAGACACACTCTCTGTATTTTCTCTTCACTTTGAGGTATACTGTGGACTTCTATCCCAGATTATGTAATTTTAATATATGATTAAAACAAACAACAAACGACTATATCATGCTAATTACGTCATATGAGAAAAAAAAACTCTATGTTCAATGAAACTTAATTTCATTGAACAGAAACTTGATAGTTGAATGGACTATAACCACTGAACACAAGTTAAAACATACATTTCCTGAAGAATCTTGGACATATAAAGACAATGAATTTCATAAACGCCACTGCAATTAACAAAATTAATACAAAAAATTCCAAGAAATAAAAAAAATACATACGATGCTTGAGTCTCTTTTTCATGAATTTAGTAACCACCACAAGTTTCCCGATAACTAGAATATTTAATATTAAATTTTAAAATTATCAAATCGATATTAGTTCAACTCCCTAGGAGGGGTAGATGTTACCCTTAGGACCTAATATGAAAAGGGAGGTCAAGATGCACATCATTTTGAAGGGCGTAAAAGTCTCTTTTCAATTATACCCTAGTTTTTTATTTTTTGATGAACAGTTTCCGAAAAATGCCGATCTAAACTTACAAAAGTAATTAGAACGTGCCGGCACTGATATCTCGACTGATATGCATGGTTTTCAGGTTGATATTATGGTATTGACCACTTTCAGTCCAATTGGTAGGAAGATTTTGAATGCATTTCAGTGCAGGCATGTTCCAATTACTTCTGTAAGATTAGAACGGCATTTGGAAACTGCTCATCAAAAAATCATAAACTAGGGTACTGTTGGAAAAATAATTGAACGCCCTTTAAAATAATGTGCATCTTGACGCCCTTTTCATATTAGGTTTCAAGCGTAACATCTACCCCTCTTAGGAGGTTGAACCAAGAGGGCTAAAAATATTCAATTCAAGTGTCCCCCTTGAAAATAAAATTGACCTGTCTTCTCGATTTCTCATATTATTTACTGGAAGGAAGATATTGAGGATGGGAAGTTTTAAAAATGTCACCTTGTATAATTACTATTCAACTTTTAATTTCGAATGAAACCAATCTTGTGTTAGAACTTCGAGTTGCTTACCGTCAGAACTGTTTTCGCAGTAACTTGAATGATCACTGCTACTATAACCGTTCGAATCGGTGTGGAGCTTCTTCCTCGAATAACTATTTTTCCACCTCTCAGCCCACTTCATGGTACCCTCTTTGGTAACGGGCTCTTCTAGAGCATCGTCATAGGCGTTATCGTCATCACTATCGGTTTCACTAAAAATATCATTGATGCTAAAACTTTTTTTTGAATTGACTCGGCCGTTACTTGATGGAAATCCATAGCAAATGTAAAAACTTCACAAACGATGAGATTTCCACAAAATTCTCAAACACACGACATGTTTCGCTAACACAGTAGCTTCGTCAGGTGATATGGTACGACGAACTAAACTAACCTTGGCTTGCAATAGTAAATAATAGTGATACGCGAAGAACATAGATTAGACATTAGATGAGTTGACTGTGAATAAATTAATAGTCGAGAAGTGTGTAACACTTGTTTCGAGAGAGAACGATTTCGCTGGTTACTTTTTGAATTACTTTTTAATTTCGATCAGTTTTAGATTCCTTGAAATCAGAGTACCCAGAAAGTAAGAAAAATTTACTGAAATGACCCGAATTATCATTGTATCTGATTTTATTCCTCCTCGATTCAGAGTGACACAAACAAGGACCCCGCACGTTTAGTACGGAAAATGGCTTTCGGCTAATTTTTATGAAAATTTCGATATGTTTCAGATAATAGCGTTCGATTTACAGATCGATCCTATGACCAGTTTTCGAGCTACAAGGTGTCAATCATTTGAATGTGGCTGTTTAGAATATTTTGCATCGATTTGAATTATGTGCTCTAGGTCGTGCTGAATCTCCAGAAGAAATAAACGCGCCACGTCTAATTTCTACCTCATGAATCCCTCTATTCGAATAGATAATGATATCACATACAGGGTATTGCATTCCATCATGACAAAGGTAATATTCATGGGGATAGACAAATATTGAAAATATCAGAATTTCGAATTTTACTCAATCACTGAAAACTTGAAAACAAACGGCTAGAATCGGCCAATTATTTGACACACTATGGATCTTGATCATCAACATGAGGATTCATATGATTTCCTCTGATACAATGTCCGGTTTGCCATATATAGGGTAATGACAATTTGAAAGCTTAGAATTGATGTAACTCATGAACAAAATGAGTTACATATCAGGAATGGTTCATGACTGTTAATATAATATATAAAGTGGAAAATAAAATGTCTCACGGCATACCCCCACCAACCCCCTTAGTCACAACCACCCCAACGCATATCATTTCAATAGTAGCCCCTACTTGTGATACCTCATTGAATAGCTCGGTGAAAATGCATTCCAGTGGTATTATTCATATCTCGGACTGGGTGAACTAACAAAAAATATTCATTACCTATATCAATCTGCTAGGCTAAGGTGACGTATTAATTCCATAACTTTTCGTAGTATGAAAAAAAATCGTTTAAATCGTGAACTATAAAGACCTATTGCTGAAATAGCTATATTCAGGTGATTCGAAAAAATGATTTGTGTACAGTAGATCGATGTAGCGAAAGAACACGGCAATGTACAGAATGTCTAGTTTCAGGTAAGTGAATGATTCTGTTTTCATGAAATCAAAATTATGTTGGACAATTGATATTGGAAGTAGCCAATTTTCGAATATAATTCCAGTTAAAAGATACATTCAAACAAGAAGATGATTTGAGCCACAATTGTGAAACTGGAATTGAAAAACGTATCATGAATATTTGAGTTCAGGATTTCTAGAAAGACTAATATAATATATTAAGTATATAAACTATCACCCTATATATGGCAAACCGGTCATTGTATCAGAGGAAATCATATGAATCCTCATGTTGATGATCAAGATCCATAATGTGTCAAATAATTGGCCGATTCTAGCCGTTTGTTTTCAAGTTTTCAGTGATTGAGTAAACATCGAAATTCTGATATTTTCAATATTTGTCTATTCCCATGAATATAACCTTGTCATGATGGAATGCAATACCTGTATGTGATATCATTATCTATTCGAATAGAGGGGTTCATGAGGTAGAAATCAGAAGTGGAGCGTTCATTTCTACTGAAGATTAATCACGACTCAGAGAATATAACTCAAATCGCTGCAAAATATTCTAAACAGGTGAAAACAAATGATTAACACCCTGTAGATCGAAAACTGGTCATAGAATCGATCTGTGAATCGGACCGTGTATTAAGGACACTAATATCTGAAACATAAAATTTTCAGAAAAATTTGCCGAAAGCCATTTATGGTACTGAATGTGCGGGGTCCATTGAAGTTTTACCTACATAGGATTTATTTTAAATCCCACTTACACCCCATTCCGAAATGCAACTCCTTTGTTTTCTGTGAATACAAAAAATAGTGCACATTCAAATTCTTAATCACACGAAATATTTAGCCAACACAGTAGCATTGTTTACCTCATGCTAGACGAATCGTCGTCAGTGTCATCCAACTCTGCACAGGAAGCGCCAAAGTTTTTATCGGTCCATTCGTCCTCGTCCATTTGACATGAATCGTCGTGATCAGAAGATATTTGGCCCACGGAAAGATTCGCGAATTCGACTCTTTCGGGAGTGTGAACTAAAATATTAATACGTAGGTAATATATACATTCTTTGTTCTACTAGACCAGGGCTGAAGCTTTTGAAAATAGTGAAAAGTGAAACAAAATTATAGTAGAATGAAACTCATTGGAAAAGGTAGAGAATGACACAAAATCAAAGGAAAAATGAATTACGGGCAATCTGAGGACGGGAAGTCCGGCAAAACTACAAATCCTATAGGGAAAAATTAAATAGCAAAGTTGTGGGTAATAAAAAGTTCAATAACTTTCGTCTTCAAACTTTCTTCACATAACCACAAAATATACGTGAAAAAATTAAATAGTCAAGTGTTTGGTTTTTAATTTTTATTTTTCACAAAAAAAAGTTTTTCACGAAATTGACTGAAAACTTACTTCTTCACGATCCGAATACACTGAGATTTTTCTGATTTGAAATATTCATTTTTTCACGACTCATCGAAATTGCACCCTAATTTTGGATCGAAAATTCGAAATATCTGCACTTTCAGAAAAGACGATGGGCTTTTTGTTCGTTAAAATCTCTACTTTCTGCTGATATAAAAATAAACCAGGTGACATAGGAGACATGTAACATCCTGTAGTTTTTTTAGTTGAAGAGATGAAAATTTTGAATTCACAAGGGTTATATAATCGATGATGGCGCTTCCCTTGAACCCAATGACAATTTTCTTCAACCACCTGTTTGATTGGAACTATTCCTAACTTTTTTTTTCAAATAGCACCCTGTATATTTTTGTAGCCTATGTTATTCGCCTTAAAATTCGTTATTCAACTATGTATTACAATGTTATATTCGTTCATTAATTGACTGTTAAATTGCATTTTATTGAAATACATAGAGTTGGCTGTGGCCCGAATGCGATTTTACTAAATATACTGTACGCTAGCACAAACCACGCCCACCGTAATATCTCATCTCCGAAGTACTTAGGCAAAACTCAAGGACTATTTATCCTTAACGAACTAACCTATCCCTGATTGCAATATTTTTGAGGAAGGAAAACCGAATGGAGTGTAGAAACACACTGATTAATAATATATTTCAAAAGTTGAGTTCTTCAACAAAATTGAATAAAATGAGAATGTTTATCCTAAACGCACTAACCTATTTGACTTCAAATATTTTATGAAAAAGGAAAACCAGAATGAAGTAAAAAAACATTGGTGAAAAAAAAAGTTGCAAAAAAAAGTTCAAGTTCACAGCGATTCGAACCATGGACCTTCAGACTGAAAGTCGACAGCGCTAACCAGTGGACCATTTTGGTATATGAATTTATTGCATACAAGAGATTGACAACGAGAGAGCTTCAGTCGAATTCGTGTCAAAATAATGAAAAGTGTATTCTTGCGTTGGAGCACAGTATATTTAGTGCGATGTGCTGACTCCGAGTATATCGGTAATGTTTGGAGCTATGACGTATTATGGTGGGCGTGGTTTGTGCTAGCGTGCAGTATATTTAGTAAAATCGCGGCCCGAATACAATGACAATTCGATGCTTGGCAGGCTCAGAAATCCAAAGATCATCAGACGATATTATCAAAATATTTTTCATACCCTTATCGGTCCCAGAAGATTGCAATTCAATGAATAATTTATTGACAAACTAAACATTTTGTTTAAACCGCCTACTAAGCGAAATGATACTGAAAATACACTAATGTAGACTTATGAACAGATGTATTAGGACGATACATCAATTATCAAAACAATTTCAGTTTCATGTATCCAAATGGATGATCATATTATGGCTACATGGCAAAAATGAAAGACAAATAGTTTCTTCACAAGTAGCCAAATGAAAAAACCTAGTTTCTATCTCAGTTTTCTCAATATCGTGAGTTATTTTCGGATGATTTTTTTAAACTCAATGAAATTATTGGCAATCTTCTGGGACCGATTAGGGTATAGAAATATTCTGATGATAACGATCTTTAAATTTCTGAGCCTATCAAGCATCGAAATCACATTGTATTCGGGCCACAGCCAACTTCATGAATTTCAATAAAATGCAATTTAACAGCCAATTAATAAAGGAATATCAAATTGTGATACATAGTACTGAACCCGAAAATTCCTGAGAAAAGTATGGAGACAAAACTTATTGATCCTCCTATTACCTAAAACTGTGCCGTTCAACTTTTTTCCATATGAAGTTTTGCGGGAAATCGGCATAATCTGTTTTTTATCCTTGAAAGCTCACCCCTTTTCGCTTCCCGACCTTCCAGTGGGTTTCATTTAACTATAATTTTCTGTTTCCGATATGGTCTATAACCCAATTTAAAAAAACAAAATTTCAAAGTCTCTCCTCACCTTTATCAAGTAAATCAACTCCAGCTATGCCTGAGAGAGGTTTCTTCTCTGGACTCCTTCTCTCTTGAGAAATCTTGACGGAAGGTTTTCTGGTTACCTTGGCAGACGGAACTTCGCCTATCATCCCGAAATGTTGTGGGCAGAAGAATTTGTAACCGTACAGACCATCTCGATCGAAGACGTACGATCCGAGCCTTAGCTGCGTATGGCAGTACTGACATCTAAAATATAGACCATTTTCTGATATTCCCGAACAGTATTGCCCAGTATATTTTATCGTTCCGATTCTACTGAAATTTACTGGCAACGTTTTCGCGGGTCATTGCAAAGAACCCTGTTAGAGGCTAAAAGTTTACTGTTGGCCACTGGTGCAGAAATGGTAATGCAGCGCCAGTATAGGTCGCGTGCACGATGAGCGACCCTGGAGGTGAAATATTGAAAGATAACCTCACTCTTCTGTAAAACATTGAAACACAACCTCACTTTTTTTATTTGTTTACAGAGGAATCAAAGAGGTTTGGAATAGTTTTTCACATTATTTTGGCATACGAATCGTGTTTTTGCGCTATTCATTAAATCAAGCATGCCTTTTCAGGTAAATAGTAATCTCACATAGTTTTCATTATGAAATAGGAATAGAAGCTAATACTGATAATAGATTGAAAATGTCTACAACACACACGATCATATTTCGTCAGCATGTCAGACCAATCTTCCCGTTTGATTGCCTGAATCCAATCTTCTTGCATCATTTTATATATATCACGAGAATTTTTATTAGCTCCTATTGCAGAAGGAATTCCGATGAGAAATCAGAGAAATTACCAAATTTCAAAATGAAAACCATATGTGAATGACTATAGTAGGTACTTACTTTTAAATCATAATGTACCAACCGGATTCCTTCGTCTCCCGCTGCACAATGTGATGGCATGCTTGAATCAATGAATATCCGAAAAACACGATTCGTATGCCAAAATAATTGTGAAAAACTATTTCAATCACTTGTAATAAGAAAAGTGAGGTTGTGTTTCATTGTTTCACCTCCAGGGTCAGTGATCTGACAGTTCTTGCACGTAACCCATCCATGAAATGTTAGGTTAAGCCTCGGGTTAAGCGTTTGAATGGTTAGGTATGAGTTGTTGATAATTATATATTATTATTTCTAAATATTTTGGGAAAATGTATGACGTCGAACTGAAAGATCTCACAGTGGCAGTAGACGCTGAAACTGCCACTAACCTACAAGATGGTTTGTTATTCCCACTTTTGATATCAAATATTTCACAGTTATGCCTTATTTATTCATCACTGGAACTAAAAGGTACTAGAGCTTGGTGTTTATGAATCAGAATCACTATCGGATATTAATATGTCTTCTAAGATAATTTCATTGTGAATAAAGACGACAATAATAAGAATGATGCAGGTTGAGGATCGAGTCAAATCGAGTAGGTTTTCGAAATGGCCAAAGGTGTTGAAGTTTTTTGAAAAAAAAAGACGTAAAAATACATCTTGAATGCTTGACTAGTTTGGGAAATTATCGCTCGTTCTCTAGTTGGAAAAATTCATGATTTTCTTTAGTTCACAATGCTTAATACGTACTTGAAGCATCCATGATGGAAGAATCGACCTTCAGCTGATAGACGCTCCATAAGGTATACTCGGTTGCCACAGAAATGACAGCTATCTGAACCTCCTTGGACAGGTAAGACAGGCGGTGGACGAGTAGTCTGTCGAAAATTATTCTTCTAAGCAACGTACAGATATTTTTTCAGATTATGTGACAGATGAATTCATTCATTCATTTCAGGAAAGGTGAAAAATATGTCAAGCTATGATTTTTTTTTCCACCACTAGCTATAGAACCTACCATTATCTACTCCTTTTCAAGCAAGCTAGTTTTCGTCATTTTATGAACTACTAGTCACTAAAGACATAGCCACTTTTGTTATGATTAACCCGGATTCACTGTTCTGATGCGAGATTCACAGGAATAGCACTCGATCCTTTAGGTATTTATCAATATCGACTTGCCATTTGCTGTCATGGTCATGGCTACTAGATTTTCATTAGATTTGAAAAGATAATTACATCCAGAGTGACAATTGGTCCATATTTCAGTTTCACAGAACAATAATGATTGAAATATATTGCTAGTGGTGAAAAAATATTATATACACCTTGGTTGTAAAAAATATTATTACCAAGAAACCTTATACCCCTTGTTAAATATTCGTAATCCACCTACCCGGTGGTTGAATACTTCGTATAAAGAATAAAATATGGGCCAGAATAGTGAAAATACTACTGAATCGTGGTATACTCAGAAAAAAAGCTCAATTAGATATGCCTCTTATAGAATTAGTTAATGACAATCTTGACAATACACATCAAACTAGAAACATATACAGGGTGAGTCATTAGTGTGGCAGTGAGATAACGGCTTTATAGTTTGAGATAGATAGACAAAATTTCCAGAGATGAACTAAGGTCATGAGCAGCACATTTCCAAATTATTTCGCTCCATACAGGGTGACTCAGAAATGCGTGGCGTATCAAAGTTATACTTTTTCTTATGGGGCACCCTGTATTTCATTGCATTTTCGCATTCTCCTTTGTGAGCTGATTTCATCAATGCATCACACTTGGGGTCTAGCGAGAATGATTACAGAGATAAAGGGGGTTCAAAATCGAGATTTTTCAACTTTAGGATTTTTTTTGCGTCGAAACTATTCATTATTGGTCAAAACGGCTTTCATGTCCCTATCCCAACTTTTGATTTACTATCTACTGACATTTAATTGGAACAAATACAGGGTGGTTCAAGATTCAGCATTCTGATCACCCTTGTATCTGTTCCAATTAAATATCAGTAGATAGTAAATCAAGAGTTGGGACATGATAGCCGTTTTGACCATTAATGAATAGTTTCGACGCAAAAAAATCCTAAAGTTGAAAAATCGGATTTTGAACACCCTATATCTCTGTAATCATTCTAGACCCCACGTGTGATGCAATGATGAAATCAGCTCACAAAGGAGAATGCGAAGATACAATGAAATACAGGGTGTCCCATAAAAAAAAGTATAAGTTTAATACGCCACGCACTTCTGAGTTACCCTGTATAAAGCGAAATGATTTGGATATGTGCTGCTCATGATCCTAGATCATCTCTGGAATTTTTATTCATCTATCTCAAATAGTAAAGCAGATATCTCACTTTGCCACACTAATGACTCACCCTGTAGAGTAAATAAAAATCAACTTAATACAGTGTGAATATGGTTCTATGATCTGCTACACCCCTCGGCTGTAGCCTCGAGATATAATCTTGGTCCCCGAATAATGAAAATTTTCTTTACTACCTTGGTCTATAAATAAGTATTTTGTAAGTACAGTTTGTGTACATATTCACTTACGCTTTTCTCAACTGGTTTTGGTTCAGCAGGAACTTTGCTAGCCAGCTTTTCAGTTATGGTAGCCACTTTATTTTGGCCTAATTCCCTTACTGTACCCTCTTTCAGTTTTTGATCTAGATTTCTTATACTCTTATCTATGTCTGCGAACTTTGCTGGAATATAAACGATAATTAATAAACTACTCAAAATGCGAAACTTCCAACCAAATTAAATTCGAAGTTCGTAACACAAAGAAAAGAAATGCAAAAGAAGTCTTCTTCATTCTTTATGTTACCAACATTAAGTTTTCATAACTAGGCATATATCTACTACTCAAATATGAAGCATAGCTGTCCTCAAAGCGGGAACAACTTCAGTCTCTATAGGTAACGAAATAGACCAATAGGCGTTGATGCCGACGTAGGGAAAAAATAATACGAAACTTGTTAAACCAATATGGCTACGAATTTTGAATTTTTGAATTGATTTTAGCGCGTATGTGATTGAAATTCTAATATTTGCGTTTTTAGTTGTACAATTCTTCAGTGTTTGTGTTTTCGTTTATTTTTCATAGACTGAACTTTTTTAATCATGTCTAGTGGAACGAAATGCAGTATTTACGGAGTGAAGAATAGACAGGAATCCTCTTTTCATAAGTAAGTTTGAATTTTCAAAATCTTGGGCTTGCAAATAAGTAGGTAGATGTGAAACTGAAAATCATAGAACTGGAGTTAGGATTTAGGAGAAAGTTTTCGATAATAATATTTTGTCTGATGCATAGGTAGTACGATACTAATAAAGGCTATTTTACCTATTGATAGAAAAACATGATCCTATCACGCTCAACAGATTTGAGAAGATCACTTTCACCACATTGAAGAAGAACACATATTCTTAGGATAACCCTGGCCTATATTCAATATTCATTACCAAGATCTGAAGCAATAATGTTGGATTGAAGGGTCTGAGTTTCGAGATTCCACCGAGCTGAATTAAATCATTATCGCAGATCATTTCATTATCATCTGCAATGGCTCTTTCCTGTTCCTCAAAGTTACTGACATTATGCTTTGCTATATTCTAACCACATTATAAAGGAATTAATCGAAGTTGACGGTATTATACTGTGGTATTATCAATAATTGATGATTTTTAATATTTTATTATGATCAAATAATTATTTACGAACCTAACCTAACTTAAAATCTGATCCTCACGTCAGCAGTTTCCATCCTTCACTTTCCGTCCTTATAGATTTTTGTTCCATTTTTGTTGAGATATCGTATAGGTGATGCGCCATATATAGAAATAGTAGATATATGACTTTAGGTCAGAACTGTGAAGACAAAAACAGCAGGGAAATACATAATGTAGCCTCTCCCAAAGTTGACTGAACTTGTATGTTCGAAAACCATCTGAATATTGATACTGTACAAAACTTACCCTCAGCACTGTCCTGCCTTTCCAAATGTTGTTTCTCCATTTTCGTTTGTCTCGCTAAAAACTGCTCTTTGCTCCACTTAGGCACTTTCTCTTTATCAACAGCCCTATTAGGTTTTCCCATTTTGTTTTCCAGAATTTTCTTTTCGATCTCCTTGATGTTCCAATCGGACGTTTCTATTTTCCCTATGGCACGCAACAGATCTTTAGGCTTCTTGTCCACGGGTACGGGGTCCCGCCATTTATTTTCCAGGCTTTGTATTCTGGCTGCTAGGTCTTCGTCTGCGCCCCCACCACCACGGAAAGTTTGACTGGACGATTTGTTTTCATGATCCTGTGAAACAACTCACCTGGTCAGTTTTTGAAGTGTAGGCGCTTTTCATTGTTAATATATCAAACCATTCATATTAAAAGCCGACAAAAACAGAAGTGCAGTAGATTTTTACTGCGGAAAACGAATCAACCTAAGTACCTATATCATAATGATATTGGGCAGAGACAAAAATAACAGGCCATCTACTGATAGGAAACAATTTAATCTATACATGATTATGTACCTCATCTATATGACTAAAGGACACTCAGTCAGATATATCGATAACAGTATAGTCTATAAGATTGAAACATCGCTACTCCTTTCTTCTTTTTTTGACTCTGACAGTAATCACTGGAGAGCTCTGCAAAATGAAGTCGCCATTTTCTCAATTCTCGCACAGTATTAGTTATCAATCAACGATCAACAACAACATTTTTCAAGTTAATACAGCAGCGTTTTATTGCTCACTCCTGACTTTATCAGTGTTGTACGATCTTAGTTGTACGATAGGCAAGCATTCAATTGTTCATATCGAGAGCTAGTCTGACGAAACAATTGAAGAGTGGGCACGCCAGTGGAATTGAGATGTTTATAATTATTATAAACATCTCAATCGTGATATTACTTATGAATATAACCACGAGACAAAATCTTTCGAGATATTTTTTTGAAGAAATAATCCTGAAAAATAGTGTGGTTTGATAGCAACATATTGATCCAATCCGTTCTAATCTTATTTGTTTATCAAAAATGGTTAGAAACCAAGTATTACAGTGAAAGCAGTGATTATAAATGATTATAAGGCAGTGGATTGTTTGAACCAAAATATGGCGATAGGACCAAAGATGCCCTAACAAAATATTGGTGTGAATAAAGATACAGAGCGTTGAAGATGATTTTTTTTTCGTTTTTTGATAATAATTTCACTGTAAATTCATCAATAATTATTATCAAAATCGGCACAGAGGCATTATTTTATTAAAGGAATAATATTGTATGTATAATTCTACAGTTTTGTTAGGGATTTCAAATACTATTTCATTTATAAAGAGTGTGCTTTGGTGCGAGTTTATAGTCAATACTTTTTCCGCCGTGTATATTTGTTCCTATCGCCATATTTTGGTCAAATCAATCCGCCCGTAGCCTATGTCCCAATAGTTATGACTCACCCTGTATATTTTTTCAAATTTCTTATTCTAGATTTTTCAAAATAAATTCTCCAAAGAAATGATTCCGTTACAACACGACGGAAAATCGTCAGCGGTACTGACGTCACAAGTACTATAATACGCCGACCGTCTATTGTAGGTCGGGAAAACATCGATAACTCACAATAGGCGAGTGTACTATTTTTTTTTATTTCTTAAAAAGAATAATCACTGGAATATACTCCAATTTCATAGTTTCTCAGAATTTTTTGGTCGATTTTAGGGTGCTAAAATCATCAATAATGCCACGGTAATTTTCAAACGGCTAGAAATTTACCGCGAGTAAAAACTGACGTCACAATTTTGTAAGTAGAGGCAGATCATAGCACAGTTGCCATATGTTGAAATACGATTGTGAACTTCAGAAATATTAGTTATTCAATAATTCCTAAATTCTTAATTATGTAATGGGAATATTCCTGATTAGCAATACAAAATCAATTGTCTCAAAATGTTTCCTCATGTGTTGTGCCTTATTGTTTATAATAAATTTGTGTAAACAATAATCATATCAATTCACACTAGAGGACATTGGAACTGGTAAACGTGAAACACAGCGCATTTGTGGGCGTTGTCTTGTCAGTTCTCAGCATTTCAGCACAATGTTGCCAAGTCTCCAACAGTCACATGATATTTTGTTATGGAGTATAAGAAATATTTGGAAATGCTGAGACGACAACGCTGTTTATCTCACTGAAATGACGAATGGACTGATAATGAATCATTGGCACTAATGATTCATTATCAGTCCATTCGTCATTTCAGTGAGATAAACAGCGTTGTCGTCTCAACCGATTCTTTATAGCTTGTTTGGAAACTTTTTCATCTCTCTCAAGATTTAACTGATTTCAACAATGTCATTGATGAACTGAGCACGACAGTTTGTGTTAGAATTTAGGCAATGGAGGTAAAAACTAATATTTTCTGTTTGATTGAAGAAAATACAATGACGTTACCAAATTTATTATGACAACTAACTAAATTGTTTCATACATAGGGTGATGTAACATAACACAATGATCTTATTGAAATCAAGCAACTATTGCATTACATATTTCAACACTCCCACATAATGAAATAGTTAAACAACCTTATAAAGACCTAAACCTCTGACACAAAATTCATGTTTTGGTTTGGGAAGAGGTTTAGTACAAATATCCGCTACCATCTCAGATGTATGCAGATATTCCAACGAAATTTCCTCTTGGTCGATTTTTTCTCTGATGAAATGAAACCGTACGTCAATATGTTTCATTCTTCTATGCATAACTGGGTTTGAAGCAATTTTCTGTGCACTCTGATTATCGTTGAATAATTTCACTGGCTTGCAAACTCCCAACATCTCAGTATAAAGGTTCTTCAGATAAATTGCTTCCTTTGTAGAATCGCTCAAAGCCATATATTCAGCCTCACTGGAGGACATAGCTACTGTACATTGTTTTCGGCATTCCCAGGAAACAGCAGCATTTGCGAATTTGAAAACAAATCCAGTAAAAGATTTTCTATCTGAAGCATCACTGGCCCAATCAGCATCAGCAAAACCAGTAAGAATATTTTCACTATTCTTACTGTACACAATTCCCAAATCTGCAGTTCCCTTAAGATATCGTAGAACACGCTTAACAGCTTGCCAATGTTCTGCAGAATGTTTTATATTGAATTGACTCAAGTAAGAACAAGCAAAGGAAATATCAGGTCGAGTCATAACACACAAATACATCAAACATCCAATTAATTGCTGATATGGAACATTTTCTGAACAGTTTTGGAAATCATTCGTAAACTTCACACCAGCATCCAATGGCGTGTTGACTGGATTACAATCTTGCATATCAAATTTATTCAGCAAATCAATGATATATTGTCTCTGACTGAGAACAACTTGCCCTTTCTTCTTGTCGATAGTGACCTTCATTCCAAGACAATGACTAGTCACACCCAAATCCTTGATGTGAAAATGCAGTGAAAGTTCTTTGATTAACTTTTCAGTTTCATGGTGATCATTGTAGAAAAGAAAACAATCATCAACATACAATGCCAAAATCACGATGCGAATGTCTCTTATCATGAAATACAAACAGCTTTCGTGGTCCGATTTTTTGAAACCTAGAGTACGAAGAACTTCGTCAATAATCTTGTTCCAGGCCCGTGCTGACTGTTTGAGGCCATAAATAGCCTTTCGAAGGAGACACACTTTGCTTTCTTCCCCCTCAACAATGAAACCTTCTGGTTGAGCCATGTAGATATTTTCTTCCAGGTTGCCATGCAGGAAAGCTGCGACCACATCTAAGTGCTTCATTTCCAGGTTATATTGAACAGCTATGGCGAATAGAAAACGCAATGAAGAGTGTCTGATAACAGGAGAAAAAGTTTCAAAGTAATCTACGCCAAATTTTTGCGTAAATCCTTTGGCAACAAGTCTGGCTTTAAAACGGACTATTTCTCCATTGGAATCTCGTTTGAGTTTGAAAACCCATTTGGATTTAACAATATTTTTATTATTTGGTTTGTCCACAAGGTCCCAAGTATGATTTTCATGTAGAGAATCAATTTCAGTTTGCATAGCAATCTTCCATTCAGCGCAATATTCACCAGAAAGTGCTTCCGTTATGGTTTGTGGTTCAGTGACTGAATCGCAAATTGTTTGGTAGACCATAAAATCTGGATACACCTTCATCGTGCGCTGGCGCTGCGGGTATCTTGTTTCTGCATGTAAACTACCCGTTCTCCCATCCAGGTTTGATTGTTGTGAAATGTCTTCTTCGGAGTTATCCTCAACTTCAACATTTTCCTCGATGTATTCCTGACTAATGCAATCTTTCGAACAAGAATTTGCATCATCTGAAGATAGTAATTCATTTAGAGGAATTATGTTTATGCATGCATTAGTCTCTTTTTCCATATTATTGAACTTATCTTCTAGGAAAATGACATCTCTTGCTCTAGACACTTCATGAGTAGAAGTATTGAAAAGTCTGTATGCCTTGGAATCTTCTGAATATCCAACGAAAATGAATTTTTGGCTTTTCGGGTCCAACTTCTTCCGCTTTTCTTCAGGGACATGAGCGTACGCCACACACCCAAAAATTCGAAGATGTCCTAAATCAATTTTTCGACCAGTCCATTTCGCTTCTGGAGTTATTCCTGGTAAGACTTTAGTGGGAGATCTGTTGATCAAATATACTGACGTATTCACTGCTTCTGCCCAGAAACGTTGATCACATGAGCATTCATTCATCATCGAACGAGTTTTTTCCATGATGGTTCTGTTCATGCGCTCGGCAACCCCATTCTGCTGCGGACTGTAGGGCACTGTGAGTTGATGTTGAATACCAGAGTGTTTCAGGATAGTTTTCAAATCATTATTGGTAAATTCTGCTCCATTATCACTGCGTATTCGTTTAATCTTCTTACCACTTTCAGTCTCTACTCTATTTTTGAATTCTTCGAAACATGACTTCACTTCACTTTTGTGTCTGAGGAAGTACACAAACACCTTTCTTGTACAGTCATCGATGAGGCTGAAGAAATATTTACTGCCACCCCAAGACGAAACTGGCATAGGTCCACAAAGATCCATATGAACAAGATCCAACTTTTCATCTGACAATTTGTGTTTGTCACTTTTGAAAGGTTGACGGGAATGTTTTCCTATCAAACAGGGTTCACACTGAATGTTCTCGATTCCACTATTGAAAGAAATTCCAGTGGCCAAATTATCCCGCAGAAGTCGCATGCTAACTCTATTGAGATGTCCTAGTCTCTTGTGCCATAGTAGAGATGTATCTATGGTTGTTGCATTGGCAAATT